TGGTTATGATCGATCAGAATTAAATTATGACCGATCAGACCTATTTCAATCGATTAAAACGCATTTCAATCGACTAAAATAACTTGGGAAAACTTTGTACGAGTTTCAATCGATTAAAACGCATTTCAACCGATTAAAACAACTTAGAAAAATTACGTGCAGTTTTATAATCGATTAAAACTTCTTTGTATCAATTAAAATAACTTGAAAAGTTTTATAAGAAAGTTTTAAAGTAAATCAATCGATTAAAATGAGAATCAATCGATTGAATCACTCTCGAAATATGTTTGTAAAATGTTTTAACTGATATAAACATGGTTGGAGGGTTGGTCTTTCCACCAACTAGACGTAAAATCTGCCTTCTTAAATGGCTATTTGGAGGAGGAAATATATGTAACACGACCATTGGGATTCATAGTCAAAGGAGAAGAGCACAAGGTATACGAGGCATTGGAACTATTATGCATCGGATGAAATACTCACGTGATATTCTTAGCGAGGTTCGGGATGAAGAATTGCAATCTTTGCGATAAACTCCAACGGAAATGGGTCCGAGATTAGAAAGGGGCACCGAGGAGGAAGATGTTGATCACACAAAGTTTCGCGAGAATCATTGGAAGTCTAAGATACCGTGTAACACCGGACCCGTGGTAGCTCTCTCCTCTCGTCAAGCGAGTATATAGGCTGCTGCACATGCTGCATGTCAAGCTGCATGGCTCGGGATGCTTTGTTGAAGGAGCTGAATGCGAATTGGTCCAACCACCAACATTGTTTGTTGATAATAAGTCTACAATAGACTTAGCTAAACACCCATCGGCTCATGGAAAAAGCAAACATATAGAAATGAGGTTTCATTTCTTGAGAGAGGTTTCATTTCTTGAGAGAGCGGGTTAATGATAAGAAGCTTGAAATAGAACAACTGCAGTACGGAAGATCGGAGTGCGAGATATCTTTACAAAGCCTTTGAAGGTCTGCTAGATTTTGTAAACTCGGAGAGTGTCCGAGAATTGTTCAGTTTTGACTTAAGTAGGCATGTTGAGATTTAAGTCAAAATGCATGATGGGTAGTTACGTGTATGGGTATTATGTGCATGGGGCATGCATTACGTGCATGGGTTTCTTTCGGTTTTTTTCGTTTTGTTCACGTTCTCTGTTCTACTCGTTATTTGTTATTTCTACTTGTATATAAACATTACGGTTTTCATACATCAATAAAAGGAATGTACTTCGGTTTCTATCCGTAGCTCTCCCATTTCGGATATAACGAGAGTCCCCCTTGTTTCCAGGTGTCCTCGCTCAAGCGGTGTGATTTTCGCTTGAGTCACTTTAGATAGCGGTTATTTGGCCAACCGCTATCTAAACTACTATATTAGATAGCGGTTGGGCAAATAACCGCTATCTAATGCGATAGTTTAGATAGCGGTTGGCCAAATAACCGCTATCTAAAGTCATATATGTCAAAGTGATCGACTATAATGGGATAATAGTCGATCATACTTTTCGCTCAAGCGAGAAAACCTTCGCTTGAGCGAGAATTTACCCAGACTACCCCTTTGTTACGAGTTTCCTCGCTCAAGCGAAGGTTTTCTTCGCTTGAGCGAGAGTTCAGTCCGCGGAATAATATTATTTTAATACAGTGAACAGTGAACCGTTGCGCGAAATAATATTATTTTATTAAGTGAACAGTAAACAGTGCTAGTTGTGTAAATAAAGTTGCAGAGGTGCTATTTGGGTAAATATTTTTTAAAACAGTATTATTTATGAAAAAAAGTCACAAACAACTTGATCCAATTTTGTCAAATAGCAAAATGATGAAGATGCTAAATCGTTCTTTGACTTATACCATTAATTCAGCATTGATACAAAACTCACAGGTTCCATGCTTTCAAAACGCCTTCAATTTTTTTCTTTTGAATTTCTTATATAGATCCTTCTCTCTCTCTATATATACAGAAAGAGAGAGAGAGAGAAAGGGAATCATTTTAACAAATCTACGCAATGATTAATTAAACATGTCAACAATTTTATATACTTAAAAATTTGAAAGTTAATGAATTCTGTTATCTAGTAACATGATATAGTTTTGGAATGCTATAACGAGGGTAAACTAAGTCATCTTGTTCCCATTGACATCCTCCCACTCATCTAAACAAAGAAAAATCCCAACCAAACTTGGAAAAATTACAACTTCATCGCGGTGCGTTTTGTCGTTTATACAATAAAACCCGCAGAAGTTGTTATGATAACTAACAAAATGTCCCAGGTATGAACGGCTCAAGTAGCTCTTCGGCTAGTGACACCCACCAACATAAGAAAGAAACACAACATAAACTTTTTTTTTGGTTTTCTATGAAGAGAACATAAACCTTGTAAACCTTGGTTTGTGACACTTGTAATGTGTGCCAAATTTGAAATGGGGCAACCTCACTTCCTAATCTTTAATCTCTCATCAAATGAAACGTGGCAACTTGCTTTAGAATGAAAACATCATGGTATTATGCCACAGCTCACGCACAACCCATAATTAGTGTCAGTGTTGTATGATTTTGATGCTCATCTCAAGGCTTATAATTGGGAGAATGAGGATTCGGATCCTTTAATAAAAACCGGGTCTTCCGTGTTCAAAGCTTTAAGCATATAGTATATTTATGTTGTCTCCATGAAATCATCCAAAGCAAGGGTGGTGGCATCGCACAAGATCCCTTTCCGATTTTCAAAATTCCTTGAATACAGGTAAAAGGCATGTGCGAAAATCAGTGGCACTTGAATGGCGTGCAGAAAAAAAAATAAGTATCCACTATCCACCAAGCACTGCACGTGCAATTATTTTCGTTACTTAATTACATTGCCTCAATGACAGGGATTGAAACCCTAACACGTATACCACATTCCGTTTCACTTTGTTTATTGATGGCATGGTGTGAAAATAACATCAACTATATGCATATGTGCTAACCTTTGGGTCAGTCCCCACCAGAACTGAAACCATATTGGCCGATAGTAGTGCTGTCCAAAACGTGCACAACTCAGGAACTTATATTTTGCCAAAACAAGTATCATGTCTCTACACTATATAACCATGGCATTCAATGTTTATTTCAAGTTTACTTACAACCCTAACTCATTTGCATCTGATCAAGGGCACTAACAAAATTTATAACCCGTTTTCAAATGGTAGCTCAACTAAAGATTGGATTCATACGAGTTTAACTTGTCATTCATTTTGCCACTCCAAAATTTAAGTTTTACATATCTAAACATTTTACTAAAAAGGTTCGGTTTTTTATACCCCCGAAGGACTTGTTTACTAAAATCTTGTATACATATTGGATACGTAATTCAACTTATATTATCAATATTATTTTATTTCATCAATTATATTACAAATTAAATAATAAATTCAATTTTTAATAGTAACTTAAATATTTTTAAAATTCTCTAAATTAGTTAAAATTCATTATGTCATAGACTAATAATTGGTTAACATTGTTTAAAAACTTCTAACCTTTATGTTAATAATTTATTTATTATTAAAGTATTTTTAATTATCATACAATAACATTTAAAAAATATATATGCATCATTATCTATTTTCATTTTTTATCAGTATCCTCATATTTTTACAATGTTATTTAATCTATTAAAAACATATTCTTCATTATTTACCAATATCCTAATCTTTACAATGTTATTTGTTTTTTTTAATTGAATTACTCAAAAATATTATATCTTGTTTTCACGGATATTTTAAAATTATTTAAGATTTTTTAAAATTGATATAATCTTACCATACAAATTCTTAAAGATGAACATTTTTCAATTAATAAAAGTTAAACAATTAGCACTAAAAAATTAGGGTCCAATGACCAATTGAATCGATTATCCAATAACCAATTTCTCAAAAGGTTTTAAAATATATGAAATTTCATGTTTAGAAATCAGTCTCCAGCCGATTTCTCAACATAGTGATGTTATTTAGATAAATAATAGAAGGGATGTGTCATCAGGTTAGAATTTTTTTTTGTTAATAAAAAAAGTCTTCGGTAGGTAGGGTAAATTGCTTTACTGAGTTGGCAATGCGGCATTCATGACAATTGGTAAATGTCCACGCTCAAAACACACAGAGGCAACTACTCAAATGAGTTTGCAAGGACTATGAAAGGAATGGGATGAAATCGAAAGAGCACAATATTAACATGAACCTTAAAATCTGTACCAAATAGCCTAATAGATCATGGGTATTGTTCACCCATCAGTGTTTGGAGCTGCCTTGTCTTTTCTACTCCCAAATCTCAAGTTCGTTTCACCCAGAATTGCCATGAAGAGAATTCAAGAATGTGCCTTACTGCTAACATAGACTGAACTACAGCAAAACAGGATGTAATGCAGAAGGAGACGAAATTCCACACAGATGCTTGTTTAGAATCAAAGAATCAACTGTATAGCTACATGGGAAATATAATACAAATGTAGTACCCATTAAACTAAGTTATCATCCGCACAATCAATTCAAGGCAGCAGTATGCTACAAAGTAAAAACCAATGACAATAGCCACACCATGAATTTGGAGGACCATAAACTGAAGAATATCTATGATGAGAAAGATAAAAATATGGAAAAAAGAACAACAGTAGGTGCTTCAGTTCATTATCAAAGTAAAATGAAGTTCACGATCAACATCATCATATATCCCCTCACCCTCAAAAATTCCAAAGATACACAAACATTCGACAGTCCCAGATACCTCCTTCGCAATATCGTTCCATTGGTTTTACTTTCTCCCATTGGTTGCCACTCCTGTCCTATTCCCTATTGCTAACATAACAGTTCCCCCATCAAAGAAAATGTGAGAATCAATCACGAGACCCCATGATTGCAGTGCATTCTTGACGACTCTCAACCAATATCATTATGTACACTTTGACAATGGTACAGGGGAACCCAGAAACAAAGTTGAGAGCTTTTACACTCTTACTGACCCTCTTCTCCTCCCTTTATAACTACCATGCTCTCATCCCACTGTTTACATCCATAGACCATGTCCTGCGTGATCGCGGAGAAGGATCCATACTAGAACGAGAAGAACTCGCTCTCATAGACTCTCTGCTAGAAGCAGAACGCTGTGTAGTACTGGCACCACTACTTTCAACCCCACCTCTGAAGCAACCAAACAAATTGCGAAAAAAACGGTTAAACCCCCCAATCTCTCTCCCTCTATTCCCTCTCGAAGACCATGAAATCCTCCTCGGCTCACCTCCATTGTTAAATCCTCCATCCATTTCAGTGTACACCACAGGAAGCTCCCTCTCAGCACCTCTTCTCCCACCCGAGAATCTCCCTACAGCAAACCCTCCACCGGGCAACCTCCAAATCGTCAACCCCACATTCTCTTCCTCGTTCAACCCTACGTTTTCACGTGGATTTGAGTTTGAATTTGCATTTGGATTTGTATTTGAATTTGCGTTTGGGGAATCCGCAGGTAACTCGTGGCGACAAACGGGGCAAGAATTGTGCAGTGCGAGCCATGGTAAGATGCATTCAGGGTGATATATATGCTTACACGGCATTTCCCTTACGGCGGTGCCTAATTCAAAAGCTTCCTTGCAAACCGCGCAGTGCGATTCCATGGCTAAGTGAGTATCATCGATTTCAATGGTTGGTAACGAATCAATGGCTGCTTTTGACGCAGGAGGGTGCTCGTACCTCCCAATACCATTGATCTCAATCTGAGAAAGTTGCTCAAGAAGCCTATCGAATCCAGATCCGAGAAGAAACTCTGACATGCTCGGAGGCAAGGGTCTGAGGCCAGAACCAGCACCGTCATCGTAGAAGAGTTCAAAGCCTCGACTTTCATCCTCGGCGGTGGCGGTAGCGGCCGAGGCGGCGGTCCCGCCGCGGAGGACGATGACGGGGTTGAAGGGGGAGCGGTCACCGCCGTTGCGACGGGTGCGGCGTAGGGCGGGGCGGCCTGCGTTATCGGATGCGGGGCGTTGGCCGATCATGTACATGGCGGCCGGAGGGAAGCGGCGTCGGCGGGGGTCTAGGTGGACGGAGCGCGGCGGATGTTCGATTTCTTCGATGAATCCGCCGTCGCAATCGGGGCAGACAACGGCGTCGTGGCGTAAGACACGGACGAAGCGGCTACACCGGTAGCACCAGTACGAGGATGTCCCGGAAGACATCATCTTGTAGTAGATCTCGAATAAACCGAACGGATCCGCACGCGGGATTCAAAATTTTTGACCAGATTCTCGTACAAACAAAACCTATAAAAGTCAAAAAAGGGGGGAAAAAAAGGATGAGAACAAAGGGGCAATAGGCTATGACGAATTGTTGAATGTCTATGCGAGGGTTTCCAGTTGAGAGGGAAGAGGGAAGAGGGGAGAGGGGGGAGACAAGGTCATGTGTCGCGTGGAACAAAGATAACAGCAAAGCCGCGTAGTCATGTCTTAGCGTGTCTCCAACCACGTGGCCGAGTGTGGTTGGAATTAACGAAACGACACCGTCTTGACTATGAAACCTTGTTTGTGAGCCGTTTCGGGACTGTGTTTTGGACTTTACAATTACACTCCGATCTGCCCGAACTTGGACACATTCTAATCATTCCTTCACTCTTTAAATAAATACTGTACTTCTGTGTTTCAAATTTTCTATTAATATTTACAAATTTTATATTATAAATGGGAGAAGAAAGATGTACTGATTGATAAAAATGGTTCTAAAAAACTTTATTAAATTCGTTTTTAAATCAAAAAGAAAAAAACTGATTTTAAATTAAAATTTTAAAAATAAATCTCAAAATCTTTTTCTAAAAGATTAATAAAACTATTTTAAAAATTAAAATTAAACCAAATATACTATAAATAAATATCATTTATGGCAACACTCACCATAATAATAATATATATGAATATAATTATATGATAGATATTCTGTTTATGATGTTATTATCACTTGTTAATATGTGATTAATAGTGGATCCTTCTTAAAAAAATATAAAAAATAAATAAATCCTAAAATAAAATTATAACCGATAGCTTAATTAAAAGTAAAATTATATGTCAGCATAATAATATGTATATTTTCTTTAAGAAAAACTTGTTTACATTGTTAACAGTCCCTTGAAAATATGCATCCCTTGTTATCATTACTGGATTTTTATTTTGTTTTTTCTCTACAAATAAGAAAAAGTTTTGGGTCATTTTCGAAAGCTGTTGTGGGCTCAGGCAATGTTTTTTTGTCGGACATGTCATGTCATTTAGTTTACTCAAAGGAGTAGTTGGCGTGCATTTTCCAATTTTCATTTTTGTAAGGCCGTGTTTGGTTGGTTGGTTGTTCTTATACAAATTTTAAAACAAAAAACTATAAACTTGAAAATAAATTTATTATTTTTTTCTAATAAGGTGTAGGTTTTGTAACAATATATAATAATTAAAAAGAATGAAAACTAATAATTATTTTAATTGGTTATCTTAAATGACCCACATAAATAAATAAATAATTAATGAATAATAGTTAAAAATATTAAATATTAACTAATAGTAATAATATTAAATATTTTTGTATTTTTTATTATTATTCTTAACTTCAACTGATGTATTTATATAACTGTACTAGAAACACATAAGAAATAGCTATAGTATTGTATTCTTGATTGAAATAATAAAAAGAAAACAACTCATTTTATTTTTTTCAATCAAAGTTTTAAAAAATATGACTATTCATAAACTAGTTTAATCCAATAAAAAGAATATCAATTAACAAAAATGAAAACTAAAGAAATTGAATTGAATCAAGTTTTAGATTTAGTTAAAAAAAAATATTAATTTCAATCAAAACTGATCTCTCACTATATGTATTTTCATTTACAAAGTTATGATATCACTCATATTATATTTCTCATTGTTGTATGTTTAAAGGTTATTACATAAATTATATTATTTTTTATAAATTATAATATATTTTTTATATAAAAAATACGTGTAATGAGTTTTTCTTATTCTAATGGCAACTAATAATTTAATATACCAAAATATGATTTCTCTGACAAAAGTAACTTCAATGTTGAACATAGTCAAACATGGGATTGAATGAATTTTGAAGTTTAAGTAAAATAATTGAATGAAAACTAAAAAAACAAAACAACTTTTTTATATCTTTTGCAAATCAATGACTATGACTTGGGCAAACAATAAAGGAGAGATTGAAAAAGAAGGTGAAAAAGATACACTAATTGAAGTTAATAGGGCACTTGCATCAATTGATTGTGTGTTAATTCTTAATTTGTTTGATAATTGATTTATTTTGATGACCCATAATTTATTTACATTAGGTGATAATTTGCATTGTTAAGTACAGAAAATAATACAAATACTTAGCTGCCATTTATTTTGATAAATTATTACATGTGTTGCTGTGTATTTTAGGGTTAAAAACTATATTTTTTACAAATTTTATTTTTTGGTTGTTATTTTGTTATTTTACAGTCCAAACGATTACTTACTAGACTGATACAAAATAATGTGTTATATTATAATTTATTTTATAGTACAGAAAATTAGTTCATTAGCTTGTTATATTAAAAAGTATTTTGTTTTGATATTTGTTTACATTTTAAAAATGACCAACCTATAATAACTTCCTATGGACTAATCCCAAACAGGTTAGATTCATTCCAATTGACGATTTTAAATGATAATAAATTATCAAATACTCAATATTTTGTGAATAATAATAATAATAATATTTTTATTTTTTAAAATAAATTTAATACTTCTTTAGTTTATAAAAAGATTAGGAGGATGAAAAGTGAAAAAAATATTAAGATAAACAATAAGTAAAAAAAAATGACAAAAAATATGTTGTTTTCCGTGCACGTCTATTTTTACTTATATATAACAAAATAGTAAATATAAAACATTAAAAGATATAAGAAAATTATTTTATTTTTAAATTATTTTTATTTAAATAAATAATAACTTATTTTTATCTATATTTATATATTAATATTTTTTTCATCAAATATAAAATTTAAATATTATAAATAAAAACAAATAAAAATATAAAAAAGAAAAATATGATATATAATTAATGAAAAAAATATATTTAAAAAGTAATTAAATAAATAAAATTCAAAATAATATTTGAAAAAAAATTAATTATACAAATATGAATATACACATTTTTTAACACTATATTTTCATTAATATTTACATATTTATATATGTATATATAGTTTATTATAAAAAATATAAACAATTTAATATGATATTATTTTATTAGTTTAAACTTATAATTTTGAAATAAAAAAATATTTTATAATTACATATCAAAATATATATTATTAAAAATAATAAGATATTAATTTTAAAATATTAATAAAAAATCAATTAAAAAATATATCAATAATTTTATAATTAAATAAATATTTAATTTTAATTTAATTATTTATTATTTTTAAAGTATTTTTTTCTTATTTTATTTTTAAATTATTTTATTTTATTTAAGAAAACAAGTAGAACTGTGTGAAGACATGCAATAAATTCAAATTCAGTCATTTTTGCATTATAGAAAGTTAAATCCTATTTGCTAAAATTATCTACATTTTTTCCTAATTTAAAAATGTTTATTTGAAGTTATACAACAATGCTCAAACAACTTTTATTTATTTCTGGAACAACCTTTACATCTTTTTAATTGTCACATAAGGTGTATTTTTAAATTTAAATAGAAATCTATCTGTAAAACACACTTTAAAATTAACAATGCTCGTTTTCATCTTTATAATTTTTGTTTAGATTTTTTAAAATTATAGACTAATTCCTTTTAATTTTAAAGTAAAATACAATTTTTTTTTGTCTTTATAAAATTATTAATATTTATCTTTTAATTCTATAAATCTTTTAGTATTTTTTAAATATTTCAAAATTACAAATATTACTAATATTCATATTTAATAAGGAAATAAATTAAACATTTTAATAAAAAGATACATTTTTTTATTTTTGAAAAAAAATTATATAAATATTTTTATTAACTATAGAATTTAATAATTTTTAAAAATCATAACTTTTAAGATTCAAAGTTTTTAATGTAATTTTCGTTTCTTTCCAACATTTTCTAAAAAGTTATTAACTAGCTTTAACACTTTGCACAAGAACCACCACCTTTTTAAGTTTGGAATACCTAAAAAAATGGGGAAAGATTTTTGAAAAAAAAAAAAAAAGGACTAAATCTTAGAATGTGAGTTTGTTCAGAAAACTTAATTTTGATTGAACAACTAAAATTTAGAATGTGTTTTGCTTTTTTGCGGTTCAATCTCATACATTTGCAGTATCAGTGAACTTTTTCTCAGTTTAGTTCACTCACTCATAATTCCCAACCCCATGGAGGAACGAAACTCTTGTTTCTTCAACCCTGCAATCTTGGATTCCCTCGCTGAGGATTCTCTTCAGGAAATCATCGCCAGCTACAATGGCTTCTGCAACTCTACGCAGTCCCTTCTCTCCGGCAACGGCGATCTTTCCGTTGGACCAGACTTCGTTTCGCACGTTCACACCCTCTGCAAACACAGTCTCCATTCCCTCGTTCAAGACCACTTTCTCCTAGTCCTCGAGGTACCCCACAATTTATTTTCCTGGTCCAAAGTTTGAAAAAAATTATCCACTCTTTTGGTTGCAGGAGACTTTTGAACGAATTGGGGCATCGAGATTTTGGCGCCATTTTGATCCCTATTCTCACGTTGCGAATTTGAACAAGAATGATGACCTTGACGTGAGTGTTTTTGATCCTTGACTTCTCTCTCTCGTTATGGCGAGTTTTTAGTTGTGCTTTGTTAACCGTTGAAACAGATTGATGAGGATGAGATTCAGAGTGTGTTGTATAATGCTTTGGAAGAGGTTACTTTGGAGAAACAGTATCAGGAGAAGTGTCTTTTCGTGTTGGTGCATGGTTTGCAATCTTACAAGGACCAGATGTCAGAGGATAAACATGGTTTTGAAGGAGAAAAAAGTTACCTTACTTCTAAGTATCAATGGATTGTCTCTTCTGTTCTTATGGCCACAGTTCCTCGGCATTTCCCTGGTTTGTTTGCAGTTTGTTGCTTGTTAGGATAATGAGGGTTTGGCATAAGTAAATTGACTGCTTTGATTATGAAATGTTGTTTACATATTCCTTGGTTTTCATCTTATGTGTACTTTTACATCAAAGTTTGTTGTGGTTAGCTCTAATATGCTGGTTAACATAGGTTAAATCCTGATGCAATATTTTAGGTTCTTTATCTCATTGGATTTGGCACTTTTATAGTGAGTAATGGAGTATGAGTAAACAAGTAATCTCTGTCCTTGATAAAAAAAAAAAATGGTTGATGCTCCAAATACATCCATGGTTTGTTAAGCTTCTTCATGTACTATTTACCCATCAAAGATTGAAATTTGTTACTTTACCTTCTAAAAGGGAGTTACTCATTTAGAGGAGCCATGTCCTTTTTTGACCTTTGTGAGAACATTCTAGTGATTGAAGCCGTTGCTTATTAAAAATACGGTTACTGTCTTTCCTGTTGACATCAATTTCTCTTATTTGATATTTTTTGAAGGAGCTTACTGCTTCCTTTCTTTTTGGCCTTACATGTTTTTTCCTGTTTGCAACTATTAGTTATATTGCATTGGTATTTTAAAAGAAAACTGGAGGAGTTAAGTACGATTATGGATGAAGAGTTTTGTGATGATGCGTCTCAAGATAAGGATGGCATGGATTTAGATGAAGGAGGAAAAATATGCAGCAAGGGTGGTGAAATGGATGTTGATGAGTGCTATAACGACCATAGGTTCTCGGAAAACAGTAGACTGGTGAAGAACGTTGGAAAGGTTGTTCTTGATCTTAGGAATCTTGGATTTACTTCCATGGCTGAAGATGCCTATGCTTCTGCTATATTTTTACTACTGAAGGTGAGCATGTTTCTGAATTTGAAAATCATGTATTTTCCAGTTTTCCTCAATCTCATTTTATCAAGTTGACTCTTACCGTTTTGGTTCATCTATGTGTCTCTTTGTAAATCTAATCTTTGGATGATATTTGTTTTCTCTCATCTGAATGACAGGCAAAAGTAAATGATGTAGCTGGTGATGATTTCCGAAGTTCTGTTTTACAATCTATTAAAAGCTGGATACAGGTTTGTTGTGCACATAGAAGTACATCTCACTGTGGCATGAATTAACTGTAGTTATTTGTTCAAATCCTAATTAGGGTATAATTTTCAATTGCTGTTTTTAATTACATCAAAGCATAATTTTGACCCTAATTATATTACAAATTTGAATTTGTATCAGATTGTAATAATTAATGTTGCAGTCAATTTCATCATTCAGTTAGCACTTATTTATCAGGTTTAGAAGTTGGGAATTGATAAAATAGACTGGTCAAATGATGCCCAACCCCCCCATAACATTTCCAAATATCCAATCTTGTCAAAGTTTTATGCTACATTCAACTTTCACTCCACTTGTTTTCTTAATTGTATTTTTTACTTTGTTAGTCAGGTTGCATCCCAATTCTTACATAACTATGATTTCTTTGGTTATGATAAATATACTAAATTCATTACATATACCAGATGCATATGGATTCAATTAAATAAAATTTTATTATGATGCTTTTGCTTTGGCCAATCATTTACTTTCACAGGAACAGCCTAATTTATATGCTTTATTAAAATATCAATGTTCATATGCATTAAGTCTAGTTGGTAAAAAGTATCTGCATCATAGTGCATGCTGGTTCCAAAGTCATTAATGAAAGAACTTGTTTCTAGACCCTAGTTATATATTTCTGAAAATTAGACAGCCACTGTGCAGTTCATCTACAATATGCTTTCTGCCCATAGTAGCCTATTTAGAAAAATGTATGCTCTCACAATTTTAACACTCTATGCTGATAACTAAAATCACAGGCTGTTCCTCTTCAATTTCTGCATGCGCTTCTTGTCTATCTTGGCGACGTAGTTAGTTATGAGAGTACTTCATCAGGTTTGAAATCACCTTTGGCACCACAACCATCTTCGTGCTGTCCTGGAATTAACACTCCCTCCGAAGGGCTAGTGAGATGGAAATTGCGGCTGGAATATTTTGCATATGAAACACTGCAAGATTTAAGAATAGCTAAATTATTTGAGATAATTGTTGATTATCCTGAGAGGTATTTTGTTTATAACTCTCTCTCTCTCTCTCTCTCTCTCTCTCTCTCTCTCTCTCTCTCTCTCTCTTTCTATTAGAAAATTAATTACCCTCTTTTATTTCCTAGCAAATTGAATGGCTAGATCAACAACACCCTTGACCAAAACATATTTGTGGTTACAGCTTCCAGTCATAGCAGAGAGAAGGACAATTGTTCTAGGCTTTAACATGTTCTTTTGGAAATGAAGTTGTTTCTGTATGTCTGGTTAAAAATTGAATCTTGAATTTGAATTATCTACTCTTTCTTATTGTGGTCGCATGCTTTAGCTTTGCTTTTGAACAACTTTCCATCTCCAACAAAAGCACTAGTGCCATTTCACTTTTCTTGACAAATTAGTTATTTGCTAAGTTTTGGCTTTGTTTGTTCATGTCATGCCTTCTGATCGTTTATATTATTTCTCTCTACCGATTTTTTGAAGCTCTCCTGCAATTGAAGATTTAAAATTGTGTCTTGAATACACTGGACAACATTCAAAGCTTGTGGAATCGTTTATTTCAGCACTGCGTTATCGCTTGCTTACTGCAGGCGCATCAACCAATGATATATTACACCAATATGTCTCAACTATTAAAGCACTTAGGACAATAGACCCTGCAGGTGTTTTCCTTGAGGCAGTTGGTGAACCCATAAGGGATTATTTAAGAGGAAGGAGAGATACCATAAAGTGCATAGTAACCATGCTGACAGATGGGACAGGTGGAAATTCAAGTTCATCTGGAAATCCTGGAGATAGTCTTCTTGAAGAATTGAACAGAGATGAAGAAATTCAAGAGAATGCTGGTGTTGATGATGATTTTAACAGTGATGATAGGCAAGCATGGATCAATGCCATGCGGTAAATATGTATTCTGGATGATGATCAGTTGTTTTTAATTGTTCTTTCTGATTTGATCTACCTGCCATATTGTAAACTGATGTTTTCTGATTGGGCTTTCTCAAGCAGATGGCAACCTGACCCTGTGGAGGCCGATCCATTAAAGGGAAGCAGAAACCAAAGGAAGGTTGACATACTTGGGATGATTGTTGGCATAATTGGTTCAAAAGATCAATTAGTTCATGAATATCGAACTATGCTTGCCGAGAAACTTCTAAATAAATCAGATTATGATATTGATTCAGAGATACGTACTCTAGAACTCCTCAAGGTACTTATTCAAACAAAAACTCTAAAACCTGGTAGTTTGATAGGTGTGGAGTTAATATTATTATTATTATTATTATTATTATTATTATTTTGTTTTTCATTCATGTTTTCTATTGCTATCTATACATTTGTTAATGCTTTTGTTTTTGCAGATACACTTTGGAGAGAGCAGCCTACAGAAATGTGAGATTATGCTCAATGATCTAATTGGCTCAAAGCGAACCAACAGTAACATTAAAGCTACCATAAATCAGCCACCTCAGACAAGTAATTTCCAAGTTCATATTTCCCATGTTTGTGATCATTGCCAACAATAATTTTAACTATTTCTATATATAACTCCTTTTCACAAAATATATCGTGATACTCCCTTAGGTGTTAAAGTTGAAGACAGTGCAATATCCATGGATGTAATTTCTGCCACTATCATATCTTCTAATTTCTGGCCTCCAATACAGGTTTGCAGACAAAATTATTTTATTGATTCTTTTGAATTTTAGTTAATAAGAAGATAAATGATATATTTATGTGATGATACAGCTTCTATTCCTCACTACACAAATTGTGTATTATATTTAGGTCCAACAATAAGGCTTCTCAGAAAAAAGTACCAAAAATTATTCTTCAATACAATAATTATTTATTTTTTTACTTACTCTTCACTATCTAGCAGTACGTTCTGTCTATTAATTTCTGTCTAAGAATCACTTCTACTTGAGATGCAGGAATTATATTGGTACCTTTGTTTCTTAATGCTTTAACTTGTAAATCCAAATCAATGTTTTACATAGTTTATCCTCATCTTGCAAATCTAATCCAAAAACTGATCAAACTTTCCTTTTTCTGTCCCTACCTTTCCTGCCATTATCACTCATTTTTCATTGTTTTCATCATTATGCTGGGGCAAATTTATATTATCCAAATGTAAATGTATTACGCATATGCATATTCAAAGCTTTTTTGCAGCAAATATTTGAATTTTTCTCTCAAAAGGTAAAGTAGAAAATAAAATCTCAAATGAAATCAGGTTTTTAGTGTTGATTTTAAAGCAGTTAAACTATTTCAGATTTATGATATTACATTTCAGTGTTATTTAATGTACTCATGGAGATTTTCTTGAAACTATTGATGTTTGTTTTGCATTTTATACATCTGTTATCTTTTCTAGAAAATTCAGGTACCTTTGCCTATCTCTTTTTGTTTTATTTTGAGTCTTGTTAAACTTGAAACATAAACCAAACACAATATGATAACAACCTAATCTAGCCTTTTTCAATATGTTTTTAATGATTTCGTTGTTGTCCTGCAAAACTTTCTCTGTACTATATAACTTTGAAGAGATTTACAGGATGAGCCCCTTAGCCTGCCTGAACCTGTTGATCAGCTCCTATCTGATTATGCCAAGAGATTTAGTGAAATCAAAACTCCTCGTAAGCTGCAGTGGAAAAAAAGTCTTGGAACCATCAAGGTTTGTTGCTCTCTATTATCCGTCTGTGGATATTTAACTATATTGGCCCATTCTCACCTTTTACTGTTTTACCTCTGTATTTGCTCCTAATACTACCATTTTCAATGGTTCAGCTGGAGTTGCAGTTTCAGGATAGGGAAATGCAATTCACAGTAGCCCCTGTTCACGCATCTATCATTATGAAATTTCAAGATCAACCAAGGTATCCTTAGCAATCTATGCATACCTTTAGTCTGTTGTTTTGGATGTATAGTAATATTATATTATTTAATTTTTTCAGTTGGACAGCTAATGACCTTGCGAATGCTATTGGGATACCTGCTGATGCTTTAAATCGGAGAATAAATTTCTGGATAAGCAAGGTGTAGGTCTGATAGGCCAACTTCTGCAAATTTTCTTATGTTCTTTTTTGGTATCACTAATTTACAGCATGATCATGTTTAATTTGTGTAGAAAAGTATTATTATCTCTTGAGTTAGCTAACTTATGATGGCTTTTCATAACAAAAAAAATACATTCATTTACTTAACATTGAAGTTCATTTATTCATGATGATTATAATTTTTCAATGACATGAATTGCTGTTGGATTGAGTACAATTTCAAGGCTGTGAATTTTCTTGTTTAAAACTATGAAGTCTTAAGTTTAGAAGTAAAGTTGACACTAATTAATCATTGCTGTCTCTTTTGTACCCAGGGAATTATTACAGAGTCGCAAGGGGAAGATTCCTCTGATCATGTATACACCATTGTGGAAAACATGGCTGATACAAGTAATAATGGAGCTAGTACTGCTACTCAGGAACTTCTAGGAGGCGATGAGGAGGAGGAGAGATCCGTGGCCTCTGTGGAAAATCAACTTCGTAAGGAAATGACTGTATATGAGGTATGTGGGATCAAGAAACGGTTAGTTGATGGTTTCCTAATTAGTCAATAATAAAAAATTTACTGCCTAGACTTTAGAATCCTTGCAATGATTATATTTTAATTTTAATATATGTTGTGGCAATTCTTAATGCATCTTTTACAACAAATGGGCTATCAATTATGGGCAGGGAAAATATTTAATGAAGGAACACTAATGAGAATGAATATTCCTTAAATAAATGAACACAGTTCTTTATCATTATCAGCCTGTTATTCCTAGTTTTGCCAATATGAACAACTGTTTTTTTGCCAAAGATGGATGGAGGTTTTGGGCTGCACATGGTTTTTCATTTATGCATCTCGAGGTATTTAAACACAATGGATTTACAATGCATAGATTAAAAGATATCTAACTGATGAAGTTTTTTGGCAGAAATTTATCCTGGGGATGCTCACAAACTTTGGTAGCATGGCATTAGATCGAATCCACAATACTCTCAAGGTAAGAATGGTTTTAAACTTATACCTTCTGATAAAATAACAGTTTTACTAAATAAGTATTTGTACATTAATATCATGAACAGGTGCAGAATTATAAATTTTATACGAGAGAGTCAACATATAAAAATTAATTATTATATAAAAATCAATATATTATATAAAATATTTATCAGGTTCAACATTAATTACTAATTTAATTTAAATTTTTGAAAGTAAAGTTTATTTTATCATTTATCCTCTCTTTTCTCTTAAAAAATAATCTATAATTTTTCTTTTTAGACATCTTTAAAACTCAATCAGAATTTTTTTGTTCATATTCATTATCCAATATATTTAATTACATGATTATGTTATTGCAGATGTTTTGCATTGCTGATCCCCCATATGATAAGTCACTCCAACAACTACAAAGCTTTTTATCTGGTCTAGTCTCCGAGGAGAAGTTAGAACTTCGGGATGGAATGTACTTTCTGAAGAAGTAGTTTGATTACAGAGTCGAATTGAGATGCATTTTGTCATGAGAAAAAAGGTGAAATTTCTTCATGTTTTTCAGAACCTGAATTTCATGAAATCGTTGTATTTGTTTTATTAACTTAGTCCTAACTATCCCTGTTTTGTCCATGTGTTCATTACCATATGTTTATGAATAACTTTTTATCTTTGGAATTTACTGAACCAACAGAACTCCACTCTTGGTGGCATCTTTTTGTTGTCCTGAGGAAACTGAATCCTTTTGGCAAGAGTTTGTTTTCAAACTTGGCTAGTCATTCGTGTCAATTTTTTATTTTGGTTTTGCAATGGGAATACCAATCTGAAGCATTCATCAAGTTGTTGGGATAACACCATCCAAGATATGCCACATAAAGAAAATTCAAGCACTAGCACACCAACTTTCACATTTGTTGCAGGAGATGTCAATTTGAAGACATTATTGGCTTTCAACGTGTGCTACTTCTGGGTTTGCCAACCTTTTCTAAAAGCTTCCACTTTTCTGATATTATCTATTCTCAAATGAGTCAGCCACTTACCGGTATGTAAATTTGTAGTATTTACTGCTAATTAGTTTAGAGGATAAATTGAATCAAATAGGAAACAATATTTTATAGTGTTTACATTAAAATGTAAGTTATTTGGTATGGTTCTTTTTAGATAACTCGATTAGACATCAGAGTAAACATGAACAGATAAATTTTCTAATGTTGACATATGGTGCAAGAGTTATCTCCAACATAAAGTGGTACATGAAACTCGCATGACTAATTTAATGATGAAAAATGACATTGTATTTGTCATTGGCATTCTAAGCCAAATAGCCTATTATTTCGAACAATCATTCAAACGTGGAACCATTTTTACCCTCCTACCATATGCACGACCAATAAGTTTAATAGGAAATTTGGAACATTGAAAAATTGGTGTGCATCCTCACATTTGAAATTGAAATTCTAGAACTCTGACAATATTGCCTCAGAAACATAATTTCAACACGCAATTATGCGTGTACCAGAATTATGTTTTCGGAACTATAGAAGTAGACTTCGGAAATATTAGACTTAGTGTAGATCTTGGAAGTAAAATTTTTGCAGTTTCAGAATTTTAATTATGCAAGACAATTCAATAAAAAAAAAATTAGGTCATCAGGATTTTTTATTTTTTTTTAAATAGAAAAACAAAGGACGAGTGATAGGTTCCCAAAAATGGACGTTGCTGACAATAATTTCGAAAATTGAAATTATTATATTTCAAAATAGTCCGTGAAGTTTAAACTTATGGCTTGTGTAGTCTAAGGAGATGATTGGACTAATTCAAGTGCTGATCTTCAAATTTAAAAGTAATTTTAAAATTTCAATAATTTTAGAAATTAAATTTATAGTGCCCGAAATCCCTTATTTTATTTTTAGAATCATTGACGTGTTCTTTTGAAGAAAGATCAAAATTTGATCCCGTACTTTATAATAAAGCTTTACGATAACAAGTGAAATTTTTTTACTACACATGTTTTACTACTTGTCTGTATGTATATATTTAGAAAAAAAAATGTAAAAGTAGTTATGAAAATATTAAAAATAAAATTATAATTTAAAAAAAAATGTAAAAGTAGTTATGAAAATTTTAAAAATAAAATTATAATTTAAAAAATTAAAAAAAAGTAATATATATATAGTAAAATGAAAAGAATTTGTGTATATAAAAAATATATATAAACCTTCTTTATTAATAATATAAATAATAAAAACACAAACATTAAAATATATTTACATTTGTTATATTATTAATTTTAAAATAATTATTTTTAATTTTATCTTTATATATATATATATTTAAATATATCATATTTTTTCTACTTTTATACTTGCTATATTTTTTTTATTATTCTTCATATGTATTATATCTTTCTTCTCTCGTAATATTACAATTTTCTTATATTATCTCTCATTTTTATCATTAACATATCATAAAAATTAATTATAAATCATAACACCAAAAATATATAAAAAAGATAAAATATATATATATAATTTCCTGCCTGTTAAATTGATTGAATAAGATGAATAAAACATTTTTGTTCAGTGAAATATTATTTACCATGGTTCCCAAGCTGGTTTATTGCAGAGGAACAGAGAAAAGAAAGATGATGGAGAAATGAAGTTTGATTTATACATTGTTAAAAACCACGGAAAAAAATTGTTTACTTCTGTATCATCTCTTCCTGTATCCGACATCTGCCTAGATCATGTTGAAGTTGAATTACTTCAGACCATTCTATTCAAACTAAGATACTTGTGATGCTGCACAGGGAAGAAAAAAAATGCATCACCAACTACATATATTAAATTGGATAAATTACAATTTCGTGCTGTGTGGTTTGAATTTGGCTCAAAAGCACATCATCCTTCGGATGATTGGTGATCAAGCAGTTGCTCATACCTCTCTGCATCATCATCCATGCATGTTTTGTGAGAACTTATAGTCGGGAATTGGAACATGCCCTGACTCTATTCTACCAACATCTTCTAAAAGAATTGTGTAGTGTCTCTTCACTTCCTCCTCTGATTTATCACCAACTTCTTCGGCTATATTATGCCACCGATCTGGGGTTTCTTCACCATACAAAACCAATGCCTTCTCAAATTGCTTGTTCTGCAATCTTGTTCAAGAGGGAAACTGTTGTTCTTAGTTCTTGTTCAAAGAATTTGAAGCCATTAATTAGAGAGCTTCAAGGTGTTCTTTTATTCCATTTGAAAGAGTATCAGAAGATAAATATTTATGTATGATACAACTGTTGCACCGATGCTAGCATTTACGTAGGTTGTGGTTGTGGATGGAATATAAATAGATTGAACATGTGACTATATCAATCTGTTATTATATTAATCTAATCGTGTTTCGTGGTGAAGATAAATATGAGAAGTAATGCTATCACCAATGCTGATAATACCAAACTAATTACATATATGTAAATAATCTATGCGTGGATGAATACGGTTTTTTAAGTAAGTATTAATTAGAAAATTACAAAATATGTATAAATAACATAAGTTATTTATTACGTTATATATGTGATAGAATGTAATTGTAAGAGACTCAATTAATAATATAATAATTGAAATAATGGGCACAATAGTCAATGGTAGAGCACTTAAATGAGTACAATGTTCTACCCTTGAAAATTGAAAAACTAAAACAAAAGAGAAACCACAAGTTCAGACTGAATGAAGAAAAAGAAAACAGTGAAAACACGAGCCACATGATCAATGTGGAGGGCAAAATGTAATGACATAGCGAGGTGCCAAACAAGTATTGAGCACTGCTGAATCATCGTCAGCATAGCTATAAGCATTAGGGCAAACGGTCTTGAAGAGACGAGCAAACACAGTTGGCTTGCATCTTCCAGCAAACTCACCAGTGCAGCAATACCTATCTGACTTTGCTGCCAAACAAGCACTCTTGCACCCCACAACCTTCCCATTCCTCTCCACAGCCAAAGCTGAAGGGCAATAAACATTCAAGTTATCTTCACAGCCAGCAACACCACAACCTGCACCACCACCACTCAGAGGCTTCATTGACACAGGGAGGTTAAACCCATCAGCCAAACTAACATCATAGAAATGGAATGGTAATTTTGAGGTTCCAAGGGTCATTTCTACTAGGGTTGCAGGAGGTACTCCACCAGTGCCATTGCATTGTAATAGGCCTCCACAATCTCCTGTTTCACAATAACCTTTGCCTGTTTGTTGGTCGAATAAACACCCTTGTCTGCCCCAGATTCTCCCTGCCCAACCCTCAGGGACTTGGACAACAACCTCTTCGCCGCTTCCAAGGTAAAACCCGCCATGTTTAGGTGAGGGCTGTCCTCCATTGCCGAGAAGTGCAGGCCATACACTTTCTTTGCAGTTGTTTGCCACTATGAGTTGTGTCCCATCTGTTTCGGAGAAAACTATGATGTCGTAGATGTGATGAAAAATGAACCATTTTTTTTTTTCAATGGAAGTAAATTATATAAGAAAGTGAGTATACGAGTTAAATAATTATAAACATTAATACCACAAACCATAACTAACAAGATAACACTTATTTTTTATTTTTCTTTTTAAAAAATTTGTCAACCAGACATGCAAAACGCGAGAACAAATAAGTACACATTATGCATCATTTATCTGCAATTTTTCACGAAATCAAAGATGACAACATAATCACGATTTAAACCATGTCTATTATCGCAAAAGTTTAAGTACAGATGCACAATAGTTTTAAATTACATCTTTTACCTTCTCAATTATGTCAGGCATCAACTAAAAGTTGGAATAGGATGATAAAAAATAAAGAGGATATGAAGCACACATAATGTGTAACATAATGGAATGATCAATGAGACAGTTATTTTCAAGTGAGAGAGGGAAGAAGATAAGAACCTGTGAGAGAGATGGAGAGTAGAATGCAGAAGGAAACGAAGTAATCTGAGGAAGTAGACATTCCGTTTAGGAAAGTGGAACCGTCCTGCTCTTTCCTTCAATTGTGTTGAGTTTGATATCACGGTGCTGCTCTTGATATCATGGTGCTGCAAGGTAGAAGCAATGAGAATGAGGTTCCTTCTTTTTAGCCATTTTCTAATTATGTTTCAAAACCGTTTCCCACTACCTTCACCTCTCATCCTCCATTACTTAATTAATATTTGTAAAGCAAAAAGTACATAATTATTTTTATGCTGTTATACTCTAAATTAGATATGAAAAACATTTATACATGTTTATATTTTATAAAAAAAAAAGACATGAAGAGAAAATATTCTATTAAGCTTATATATATTTGACCATAACATCCTTGGAAGTTTTTCCCAAAAGGAAAGGAAAATATAAATAAATATAAAAATAATAAAAAATGTATAATATCTCATCAATAAGTAATTATCACAAATTATTGTATAACTCTTCAAATATATATTGTTAAAAATATATTTACATAATATGGTATATATATATATATATACTTTTATTCAATCTTCAAATTTAGTCTTAACTAAATATATTTTTAAATAGTTACAAGTTATTAGTGAAAGTATTATAAATAAATAAAGAGAAAATATGCTTTCAATAATTAACTTTTTGTCTAATTTAGTTTCAGTTTGCATTTTTTTAAATATAAACTTATTTAATGACAACTTTTTATTTTCATAAAACTTAAATAAATAAAATTCATATATTGGACTAATTTATCAAATTAAAAATACAAATATTAAAAACAGTTTTGACAAAAATAAAACAATATAAAAAACATATATTTTTCTCATATATATATAATTTAATCTTCAAATTCACTGTTTCATTTCTTTTAACATAAATTATATATATAAAAAAATTATGTTCATATAAAATTATTTAATAAATCATTCATATATAAATCAAAACTAACATAATACACATCTTTCATATAATAGTACTATTGTATTGAAAACTTTTTTCACATAACTATATCTAAAATTAATTATATTAATCTAAAATTATTTGATAAATCATCACAAATTAAAATAAACAATTTTCATATTATACTAAATCATAATTATTATTTTTTTTATAAAATTTGGTACACAAAATTGAGATAACATATTTAAATAATTAAATACTATAAGTATATATTATCTATAAATTTATAAATTACGTCACTTCTTATTTATAAGTTTCAAACATTTTAAACCTTATTAAAACTTATAGGAATAGGATATTTTTATCTAGAAAGAAAGGAGAATTTTTATTCTAAAATAACAACGAGACAAAAAATTAGATTTTAAATTTGATACATTATAAAATTAATTGATAATTAGATATGTAAACCATATGGATAATGAATTAGAAGTTTCAAAATATAAAATAAAATTAATAATATTATTAATAATAATAATTATGATAACAATATTAATGGAGATGAAAATAATTGTAATAATAAGAATGGGGTAGTGATAAAATTGACAAGTAGTGATATTGCACAAATCATTACAGTGACAACATAAGTAATGAAAATAAATAAATAATGGTGTAGTAATAATAATAATAAGAATAATTATTTTAAAATTAATAATTTTAAAAATTAGTGTTAAAGTGTTTTGAAACCAAATAAAATGATTAATTTCAATTCTATTTTAATCAAATACATTTTTGTTAATTTAAAAAAAAACACTATTATTCATATTTAATTTTTATGCTCCTTCGTAGTAAGCTTTTATTTCTAGACTTTATTTACAATTTTTTATACGTGTTGGGAAAAAACTGAGTAAAAATCAATGTAAGTAAATTGTGCTTTTGATTTTTAGTTATAGAAATATAATATTTTTTTCTTATAGGGACAATTTTGTAATCATAAACCATGTTTATAGTTCTCTTTTTAATATATGTTACTTTAACTATTTTCAATATTATTATTATATGCAATAATAATATTATCATTTTTAATAATTATAATAGACCTTATCTTTTTTTAATTATTTTCATTTATTAAATAGAAATAGTTTATACACACTAATATAATAAATACTTTTATAATTTATCCGTTCAAGAGAATTAATTACTATTTTTTATACATAAAAGAATGTAAAGTAATAAATAACAAAGAGAAAAATTAAATAAACTAATAAAAAAATATTAATAATTTTAATTAATATATAAAAATATAAAATAAAAATTATATTTTTATTTAATTTTATTTGTTTAAATGTTTTTTAACTTATATTTATTATTCTTTATTTTTTTAATATATTTTATAGATCTATAAGAAAAAAAATTATTTTCTATTTATTTTTATAATTGATAGTGTGATTTTGATATATTTTAATAAATTTTTATCTATTTCAAATTAATCTTTAATTTAATTTAATTTTTTCTTTTATTTTGTTTTATTATAATAATAGGATAAATTTTTTATTATGATATTTTTTTAAAATTTATTTATTATTATTATTTATTTTATTTAAAATTTCTTCATATTTATTTTTAAGTAATTATGAATAGATGAAAATTGTAACAAAGAAATAAAAAAGTAAATAGATTAATAAATTAATAATTAAAAAATTAATTAAATAAACTAATAAAATAATTAATAATTGAAGCTCTTCTATGTATTAAAAGGGACTTATTAAGTAATCAGTTTTTATCTTATCTAACATTATAAACATCTAATGATTTCTATTTAGTGTAAAGAGAAATTGCTTTTACCAAAATCATTCATAAAATATAATCTCTAATAAAATAATATAAAAACAGGAGTTAGATTCAGGAGGAGGGATCGGCACGAATATCGGTTTTCCATTCGTTGTGGCAAAACAAACCGGTCCGGCTAGCTATCTTTTACCGCCGAAACCGGATCTATTCCAAGCGAAGCCAACTCAACCGGATCCCTCTCTCTTTGCCCTAGCCGGTCCGTCCGGTTACAACTCCACGGTTCTCTTCTTTTCTCTCTTAGAGTCGGTTCATTCTCCCTTACTATTCCCCTCTCCTCCTCCAATAATAAAAAGAAGCGACTCATCAAACCGGGTATGCATTTTTTTCTTTTTCCCACTCTCTATTTAGTTCTTCAATTTCCGTTTTTTTTTTTTTTTTCAAAACCAGACCCAGAAGTGTTAAGGACTTGATTTTGAATAAAGATTGAATCTTTGTAACAATTTGGCTCTGTGGAAAGTAAATACCGATTTGGGTCATAAGAAAGTGGTTGTTTTGGTTGCATTCACACTAATATGGCTGTTGTGTTATCATTGATCCCTGAAATGCTGGCTGTGATTATAGGAAAAAAATGGGTTCGAATCTTGAACCGGTGCCAATTACGTCCCAGAAACATGACCCGGCATGGAAACATGTTCAGATGTTTAAGAATGGGGACAAGGTGCAGCTGAAGTGCATATATTGTCTGAAGATGTTCAAGGGTGGTGGGATTCATAGGATTAAGGAACACCTTGCTTGCCAGAAAGGGAATGCATCCACTTGCAGCCGTGTCCCCCATGATGTCAGGCTTCACATGCAGCAGAGTTTGGATGGGGTTGTGGTGAAGAAGAGGAGGAAGCAGAAGATTGAGGAGGAGATTATGAGTGTTAATCCTTTAACCACTGTTGTGAACTCATTTCCCAATAATAACCATGTTGATGTCAATCAGGGACTGCAGGCCATTGGAGTGGACCACAATTCAAGTTTGGTAGTGAATCATGGTGAAGGAATGAGTAAGAATATGGAAAGGAGGAAGAAGATGAGAGCTAGTAAGAATCCTGCAGCAATTTATGCAAACTCTGAGGGTGTTGTTGCTGTGGAGAAGAATGGATTGTTTCCCAAAAAGATGGACAACCACACTCATATGGCGATTGGTCGGTTTTTGTATGACATTGGTGCGCCTTTTGATGCTGTGAACTCAATCTATTTTCATGAAATGGTTGATGCAATTGCTTCAAGGGGGGCGGGTTTTGAAAGGCCCTCGCATCATGAACTTCGGGGTTGGATCCTGAAGAACTCTGTGGAGGAAGTGAAGAATGATATAGACAGATGCAAGATGACTTGGGGGAGGACTGGCTGTTCCATTTTGGTTGATCAATGGACAACAGAAACTGGGAGAGTACTGATAAGCTTTTTAGCTTATTGTCCTGAAGGCATTGTCTTTTTGAAATCTTTGGATGCAACTGAGATTTCAACTTCTGCAGACTTTCTTTATGACATGATAAAACAAGTAGTAGATGAAGTTGGAGTCGGGCAAGTGCTGCAAGTGGTTACATCTGGTGAAGAACAATATGCTATTGCTGGTAGAAGGCTGACGGACACTTTTCCCACCCTTTATTGGAGCCCTTCTGCTGTTCATTGCATTGATTTCATACTTGAAGATTTTGGAAATCTTGATTGGATTAGTGCAGTGCTTGAACAAGCCAAATCTGTAACGAGATTTGTGTACAATTACAGTGCAATTTTGAATATGGTTAAAAGGTATACCTTAGGGAATGATATTGTGGATCCATCTTTTTCACAATTTGCAACAAACTTTACCACATTGAAACGGATGGTTGATCTTAAACACAATTTACAGGACTTGGTAACTTCTCAGGAATGGGCAGATTGCCCATATTCAAAGAAATCAGCAGGGCTTGAAATGTTAGATTGCTTAAGCAGTCAAACATTTTGGTCCTCGTGTGACATGATTGTTCGTCTAACAGCCCCTCTCCTAAAAGTTCTGAGAATAGCCAGTAGTGAGATGAGACCTGCAATGGGATACATTTATGCTGGAATGTACCGGGCAAAAGAAGCAATTAAAAAAGCACTTGATAAGAGGGAGGAATATATGGTGTATTGGAATATTATACATCATAGATGGGAAAGGCTGTGGCATCATCCTCTTCATGCTGCTGGTTTCTACCTCAATCCAAAGTTCTTCTATAGTATTCAAGGAGATATACACAGTCAGATTGTCTCAGGAATGTTTGACTGCATAGAGAGATTGGTACCTGATACAAGAATCCAAGATAAAATTATCAAAGAGATAAACTTATACAAGTCTGCTGCTGGCGACTTTGGGAGAAAGATGGCAGTCAGAGCAAGAGATAATCTGCTTCCTTGTAAGAAGCCAATGACCCTTTCTCCTACGTAAAATTAGTATACACATCTGCTTTGTTGTGATTTAAACTTCCCAAGTTTAAGTTACTAAATTGTGAAAATAAATTAGAATCTATGCATAGTATAAGAATGCTGATGTCAAAACCGATAAGCTGAAAGACGACAACAGATTTGCTTGGTGTGAAGGCTTTATGTTGTGGCATGATGACCAATGCTGTAGAAATTGAAGGTGAAATTTTTGTTGTCTGAATGTTCTGCACCAATAACTTATAGTTTTAGAATCACTGCCAGCATAGTTCTTTTCGAATCCTGCACTGATGGATCTATCTGGGGTTGCACAAACTACAGTTTTCTATTTGACTTTTATGCATGAAAATTTAATTTTCTTTATATAAGATTTGAGTATTTCCTTTCTTAGGTGAACACTTGTTGAATTGCTTCACTTACACATGTTATTTTTCTAGCTGAATGGTGGTCAACATATGGAGGAGGCTGTCCTAACTTATCACGGTTAGCAATTCGTATTCTCAGCCAAACATCCAGTGTGATGTCCTGCAAGAGAAATCAGATTCCTTTTGAACAAATAGTCAACACGAGGAATTATATAAAGCGCCAACATCTTACCGATCTTGTCTTTGTTCACTGCAATTTACGATTAAGACAAATGTGAGCTTAAACTGTTTACATTGAGTATTGATAGATTGTTTTGATGCAGTTGCCAGTTGAAGGGATTATTATGTACTGTTTGACTTTCTTTCAGGTTTGTTAGCAAAGAGCAAGATTTTAGTGATCCCCTATCATTTGACAGCATTAGTAATGTTGATGAGTGGATTAGGCCAAGGGATTTATACATAGACGAGTATGGGAATTCAGATTGGATGGCCCTGGATCCATGTTCTGTTAACACGATGATGAAGCCTTTAAATGATGAAGCTGAAGAATTGGGTGAAGGTAAACTGCATGTGCATAAGACCTGTTTGGATAAGTCTCGCTATAAACACTTGTAAATAAGAAGTAAAAATTAAATGAATATATGGGTAAAACTAATTTTAGCTTATAGAGAAGTTCATTTCCTTTATTATTATTATTATGAAATAACTGTGCAGTAGAATATGTTATTAACTAACATGTTTTCAACTGATTGTAGGGTTTGATGATGATGAGATTTTCAGTTGTGGGAAAGATTGTGAGGATGAAAATAGCGTTGACAAGTTGGTAAACCGATAGCAAATGATCATTTGGAAGAACCTTTCTTTTGTTTGTGGACGGGTGCCAATAACTTCCCACAGTATTGGGTAATGCAGAAAAGGTGCAATATCCAAGTGTTTCCAAGTTGATGTTGGGAGAAATTAATGTTGGAAATCAATGGAGGGAAATTGAGGAGGTGCTCGGTGGACAAGTGAGGGGCATCCAGCATCCTATTTATTGTTACATATATGAATTGGCATGGTTTGCAATGTTCTTGTACAGTTACATTACATCCTCTGTATTCAATAGTTTCTGTGTTTCTTGCATATCTAGAGTGTACAGCTATTGCACACAGAAACAAATGAAAAGGAAAGCGACCAATCGAACTTTCTATTTGGTTCGTCTTTTATGAATCACGTTAATAGATTATCACATTTAAACAAGCTCATGAGTGCTCTTTTTCATTATTGATGTGATTCTATACGTTAAATTTATATGATAAATTCATTTTTCAAATAATGTTATCTAAGTGAAATAAAGTTTTAATCATTAAAACTGTACTTTTTTAGTTTCAGGTGAGATAATGTCTATACACAGTATTAGAAGAAATGGAGTATGATGAATAATTAAAATTGTAACTAAAAAACATGGAATACATTGTATTTGTCACGCCAAATACACTTTTAAATGTTGCAATGTTTTGTCCTGAATACACAGTAGTTAATTATATGTTATCTGTGATATATATAAAAAAGTTGACACAGTTATAATAATGTGTAATTTTTTGTTTTATTACGTTCATACTTATTTATTCATTTTAATAAATTGTGAAACTATATATAAATTTAAAATTCATATATAAAATAAACTAAAAATTAAATAAATTTGCAGATTATCATAAAAGTATATTTAAATTTAATATTTCATTCAAATTATAAAATTAAACAATATATTGGCCGTATAGCTGACAGCTGAAGCTGAAGCTTTGTGCTGATTGGAGTCTCTATATTGGCCGACAGAACCTTGCACAGTGAATATTGAAATGGCTTGCAAAGTTGTCTGTGTTGTATGTTAACGGGGAAAGACCCTTCAGTTTGAGTATAGGTCATCAGTTTTTTCAAGCTTTAGATTTTAAATTTGTTTAGAAAGTTAAAATCTCAGTTGTAAGAAAAAATTCATTTTAATTTTTTCGAAGTGTTTAGAGAAATTTTACAGCTATATGATAGACAAAGGAATTTCATTAAATATCAAACTTCCAAATCAAATCATTTCACATTAATTTAGAGGAGACAACTAAATATATATATATATATATATATATATATATATATATATATATATATATATATATATATATAGTACAGATAAAAATTAACTTGGTACAAGGAAAAAGAGAAGAAACCTTCTGTCCCTTTAATTCCAACTATTGCAAATTTGGAATTAAATTGTGTCTCTTCCGTCCCTTTACAGGCTACCGGCCACCGGAAAGTGAAAGAGATGACGCCACGTCATCACCCACCGATGACCACGTCGAGTACGAATGCAACTCCCCATAGCAGCCGCCACCACCAACACCACCTTCCTTTTTCACGTACACCACTGGCGGCGCAGCCACCTCCCGTTCCAAGTACCTCACCACCTGCCTCATGCTGGGCCTCTCCTCCGGGGCCTCCGCGGAACACAACAACCCCACTTTGATGACCATCAAAACTTCCACATCATCAAACGCCCCACCCAACCTGGGGTCCACCACCGCCAGGGGCTCCCCCACGCGCCACTGCTCCCACACCCACTCCACTAGTATCAGCTCCTCCGGCAACGCCTTCACCTCGATGGGCCTCCTCCCACACACCACCTCCAACAACAACGCCCCGAACGCGTAAACATCAGAAGCCGTGGTGGGTTTCCCCGTTCGTGTGAGCTCCGGTGCTAGATACCCCAGCGTTCCCACCACACGCGTGGTCCTAGGGTTGGCACCATGCTCATAAAGCTTCGCCAACCCAAAATCCCCCAACCTCCCATTCATGTCGCTATCCAACAAAACGTTCCCTGCCTTCACGTCTCTGTGAATCACCGTTTGTTCCCACTCCTCATGCAAATACACCAACCCCGAACCCACTCCTTTTATTATCTTAAACCTTTCCTCCCATGTCAGAATTTTCCTTGGTTGATCGAACAAGTATTTGTCCAAGCTTCCATTTCGCATGAAATCGTATACAAGTAAAAGGTCGTTTTGTTTCCGACACCAACCTAGTAACTGTACGAGGTTCCTATGTCGGAGTCTTCCTGTGGTTGATACTTCCGACACAAACTCCTGCATACCTTGTTTCGATTCGGGCGAAATTCGCTTCACGGCGATTTCAATGTGGGACTTTGGGAGCACCCCTTTGTAGACGCGACCGAACCCTCCGAACCCGAGCAGGTTCTTGTCCTTGAAGCCTTTCGTGGCTTTGTGTAGCTCTTTGTATGGGAATCTGTGGGGCCCAACAACGTCCATCTCCCAAACTTCGATTACTTCGGTGTTCTTCATCCTTCTGAAGAGGTAACACGCCAGAGAAACTGTGGCGAGTGTTAGAATCAATGAAAGTGAGAGTCCTAAGATTAAGTGCTTTTGAGTTTGATTAGAGGCAGAGAGAGATGGGAGATTGTGTAAGGAAAGGGTTTCGGCCTCTCCGTTTATTTTGAAGCTCCAACCGAATATATAGTGTGTGCTTGCGAGTAACCCTGTTGAAGAAGAGAACCCCACGTACATGGAATCTTGGAGAATTGGTGAGAGATCTACTTTGTATGATAAAATTGGGTAAGTGGGTTTGGAGGAAGTTGGGGAGAGTCGAACTTCCAATTGGTTCTTTGATGAATCATAATCAACCCATGCTTGTGTGACTTTACCACTCTTCAAATTCAGGTTTTGCTTATTTGATGAGTCCTCAGGGAAAAACGCAGCTTCAACAGATTTGTTGGAGACCATGTTGTTGAGATTGACACCGACATGATTGTCATTGATGTCCTCGAATTCGAAGTCTTGGACGGTGTCGAATTCCACTGCGAAAAGGTGGTTTGAGAAATTCCCCACATCGTTTGGGTTCAGGAGGCCCAAGTACTGACTCGGGTACGCGTCCGCGAGCGACGTGGAGCGCGAAATGGTGAAGGCAAAACCGTGGCCACCGAGTTTTGGGTGCTGTGGGAGGATTGCAAACGCAAAAGCAGTGGAAAAGGAGAAAAGTTTTGCGTCGGTGGGAGAACTTTTGTTATTGTGCTTGAACTGAATTGGTGTTGGATAAAACGCATGCCCGATTACTCTCTGAGTATCGTTTGTTAAACGAAGCAAGCCCCTGTGCTCAATCACTGCACCTCCGTTTAAGGCTATGTTGGTGGCAGAAGCACCACCAAACCCGTTGAAGACAAACTCTTGAGACTTTGCAATGTTTGTGACCAGAATGGTCAAAACACAGAGAGGAAGCACAAGTGTTTTGGTTTTGGCCATCACTAGGCGGAGCAACCAAAAAAACTCTACACACATGTTACATGCTTCATATTGTTTGTATGAATCATTAAGTAAGCACAAATTAATAGTGCGCTGTGCTGTGATGTGCTATTCTGTAGTGTGTGGATTAAACTGAAACGTGGCTGTTATTTGATTGGTATTGATTCCTCACACGTTTGGGGTTTACCAAGATAGCCCACTTCCACTTCCACTTCATTTTATTTGTGTATCAGCTTTATACCATTTATTGTATGTGTTGGTATCAGCTCCTACTGTCCTTTTCCCTGCAAATTTGTTACCCACCATGATTTTTTGCCTGTAGCTGTAGGCCTTACATGGAGAGTTTGTCTAGCTCAACGTGGATAGCATGTGAATATTTGATGTCAGAACTTTAAATTCTGCTGATATTGGAATAATATAATGCAAAGTTGATTAGCTTAATATTACAATTTATAATTTGATATTCAGAGTCCTTCAGATATTAATTAAATTAGGATCAGCTTCTACTCAGCAAAGAAAACTGTCATTTTCTGGGGTTTGTCTTATGTTTTGAGTGACTCAATGAATGTCAGATGATGCAGGTAAAGTAACATCAAATATAATGGTGTGGATGGGTTTGGCTTTTGAAATATACACCAATTTTTATTTGCTTGCCAAAATGGGAAACCGACTTTTAGGTGATATATATCTCTGTATGTTGTAGTTGAGACTGGCCAACACTGTAATTACATTTTCTTTCAAAATGTTGTGATGATCAAATTTAATACCCACTTTCCAGGGTGAAGTTGTGTTCTGAGTTATGATTTCAACCATTATTTTTAATTAATTATTATAGTATTTTAAATATGGATAATAAGTATTATTTATGAAAATGATCTTATTCAGATAATTTATACGTTTAATGATATTAAAAATCTTATTTTATCTTTAAAAAGTCAGATTTTTTGGAAACTAACTAATAAGTTGAAGCTGAAAAAAATATTCTGCAGTTTGAAATTTTATTTAATTAGGGACAATGAAATTTACTCTAATCATCAAAATTACACACGTGTATAATTTTCTTTTATAAATGTGTGTTAGTGAAATTACAGTGAAAAGTGCATCTTAATGTCTACTCTACCAATCCAAATGCCTACCACAAATATGTTATCGAATTGCAGTCATGCCTATTAGTGGCAAATTTAACCACCTCCACCCATATTTTAGTGCTTTCTCTGATGCTTCTTCACGTCATAAGTGAAATATAGAAAAAGAGTAAAATTTTTAAAAAATAGAGAATAAAAAGTAAGATGCAAAAATGTTTTTAAAATGGAGAGAAATAAGAAAAAAATAATTTTTCTCTCACATTTAAATAAGTAAAAGGTAAAACAATGAAAATGTTTTTACATTAATCAAAAATTAGTTTTAACCCAATTAAATAGATTAAGCTTTAAACTCTATTATTTTTTCTTATCATTAAAGTATTTATTATTTTCAATTTTTATGTACTGAATGATTATACTTTTTGAAAAAAACTAAACAAAATATGAAGAAAAAAAAATCAATCATCTTCCTTAATTATTTCATGCCAATTCAAGGGGAATAGACACTTTTATGGGTCCCAAAGAATTCATGCTTCTCGTCTCAAACAAAATGTGAATATTTCTATCACATCTCTATCCTTTCCATTATTTTTTCACTAATTGCATAGACTCAAGTAATGAGAAAGTCACACATTTAGTTACATCACACTTCAAAGTATTTCAACTTCTCAGTAATGCTATTCACTATTCTATGGCCTTTAGAAAGACTTAGTCTCATCTACTCATATATGCATGCAATTTTATTGGAGTTGCTTTGTGGGAAATTATAATCTAATTATTTTGAACATGAAAATATAATATTTCCTCACATTTATAGTGCAAGAATAGTGGGGGTAGGTTTCTCAAACAAGAAAGCCAGTTCGTAATATGACTATCTCCTCCCATTCTCCCTTTTACCCTTTAGAGGAATAATATTAGTATCTCTTCATTTTATAAGTATAGTTAACACTTATTATTTTTCTTCTATTTTCTTTTCTCTAGATCATATCACTTTTGTACTTATATTTTGCTCTCATTCTCGTAAGTAATAGGTTAGTGGGTGTCCAACAATTATCTTGTAAAATTTAATATCCACTATTTATTTGTCTGCAGGTGGACCTTGTTAACATGGAGAGATGTGTAGTTGAACGTGGGTGACATGTGAATGTGATGTCAAGTGGTTCTTTCTTTATGATTTACACAGATCAGACCCTTTTTTTCTGCTTTGATTTTTTAACTTTTGAATTCAAAGCACTATAGTATTATATAATAGAAAGTTGCTTGATTTTTATACGAGCTTGATGTTCTCCAGCATTATGTTTTTCTTTTTCTTGTTTTAAGCAGTTCACTCTATGCCTAGTGGTAGTTTAAAATCATGCTTAAAAGGAATTTTTTTTCTTGAAGAACAAAATTTACAGCACCATCTTACTATCTCTTTTATAATTCTCTATCAAACTCTGGGCTTTTCTGTAGTGTTAATATTTTCAAAATTGAATCACTTTCAAAACGAAGCTATAGTGACAAGATATGTATGCATGTAGACAAAAGTACAAATGAAGGATATAGGACAAAAGGAAAAGGCACCAAATTCATTAAGTGCTAACTCAAAATTATAGTGGAAGACAGTCCAAGTAGAAAAATATAGTAAAATTATTTCAAACTTAGCATCTTCTCTTTGCACACAACACATTGAGAATGCTAAGAATGTAATACACAAGTGCCATCACAATTGCTAGCACTTGGATCAGCACAACCTTCAGGAACGGAAATATTTACTTGCCGGGTTGCTTTGCCTGCACATAAAAAACTTCAAGAATTTATGCCAGAGTGAGATTTGAAGATTGAAACTGACACTATTGTTGGAGGAAGATTGAGGTAGATTCAAACCTGCAATTATGTAGGCCCATAAGTCTATTTGAAGAAACTTCCACTCTTAATGGCATCTTCGTTAGCATTTCCGAGAGCGGCCTCATTCAAGTACTTGTCAGCCAATTGGACTCTCTTCACGTTCTCTTGTTCTTGGACAAGCATGTTACCATACTGCAAGAGCTTGTCCAGATTCATCTTGGGCTGCTCAAAGGTAGGAGGTCCTTCTTTTGAGTTCACAAGCCTCTTCCCAACAGCATCAACACCAACACCAGAAATCCACTTCCTCACTTCATCATCATACACTCTGGCCCTCAGTGCACCAAAGAAATCTGCAGCACAACAGATGGTATATTTGTTATCTATTCTTTCTTGTTATCACTTGTTCTGTTAATATTTGAAAACAATATACAAAGTGAAAACAAGGGTGATTTATTTTAATTTACAAATTAGAATTGCTCCTTGGTTTTGTTATTTCAATGAAATCAAATTGTTCGCTTTCTTAAACACATGCTTTGTTGTTCTATTTTTAAATGCGAGTTTAATGACTACGCATTCATAGTTGAAATGGTTTTATACTATCAATTAATCAGAAATTACAATTTATATGACTTCAAAACTACGGACTCTTTCAATAACTAACTTAAAAACTCATACATAGCATGATTTGATTTCTGATTAGTTAACTGTGTAACAGTGGAAATGAATAAAAATTAAACTTGTTTATATATTATGTTGTGTCATTTTAACATGTCACTCACCAAATTCTACCTTTAGTGTTACAGTGTGGTTCTAGTTCTTACCAATGGATTGGCCAGGGAAAGTGTCAACAAGCTTGACAATGTCCTGTTCAGGAACACCATCAGTGCGGAAAATTCCCGTGCAAACACCAACGCGGTCATCCCTTGTTGGTGCCCAGTAGAACTTCTCCATACGTCCATCACGGATGAGAGGAGCATACAATGTTGAGAAATCGTTACCGGTGACAATGATGGGCACACGGGCGTTCTCTTCCTTGTTGTACATACCAGGAAGCTGCACATTTGTGGGGTTGTCAGCAATGTTCATGAGAGTGGCATTCACCATCTGGTTGTTCACAGTGTATTGGGTGGTTCCACCAAGACGACCTGCTCCTGCATCAAGATCATTGATGAACAGAGCACACATCTTTCCCTTACTGATTAAGTCTGCAGCTTCACGGTATCTCTGCCTGATCAATTTTGCTGGCTCTCCTGCATTTCCACTTTCCAACTCTCCAGCACTCATCATGATTGGGCTGTAATGGAATCACAACATCACAACGGGGTTTAAATGATAGGTAACTGCAACACAACTTTATATATATTGTACGCAGAATTAATTCTTTAACATGATACACAACTTTCGATTTTATATTTTAATGTGGTTTGGGATGATCATGAATGGGCTAGTTCAGCAAGAACTCACTTGATTCCCATCTTGGCAAAGACAAGCTCACATTGGAAAGATTTTCCTTGTCCCTTGCCTCCCCATATACCAAGAATGAGAGGAACCTGCAAATATATTGAATAAAAATGAATGGCGTCTCCCAATTTTACAAAATTCCAGGGGAAATTTATGCAGAGAACATGTTTCTAGTGGCATGCCTTGATGTTGGGCAGGGTCATGTAGTTCTTGGTGATGTGAACGACAAGCTTGTCCATAAAAGCTGGAGCAATGTAAAAACCATCCACGTTGTTGTCCAAGTTGTACCTAAATTAAGCACCACATATCATGATGTTGAGGTTGAGATAAAAACAGAGGGAAACACTAAATAAATGCTTTAGAATATGTGACCAAGTCTACTCACTGGCGAAGTCCAGTGCTAAGGTACTCGTAGGAGCTCATGACTGCATAGTGAGTTCCAGCGTCCATTGGAGCTTGGAAAAGTGGATCAACCATACCCTTCCCCCTTGTGATGTCTTGTTGATCATCAGAAATATCGTAGGCCAGACCCTTCCATCTGTCCTGGTTGGTCTGCTGGGTCTCCTCAGTATCCTTCTCTGCAGCAACAATTTTGAAGCTTCCAGAGGACACCCTGCTGTTAGGGACCCTTGAGGCAATAACCTTCTTCAAGCTTGTGCCAAAGAAAGGTGAACTGGAAGCTGAAGCTCCAGCTCCAGATCCATTCAGGTTCAACTGCAATATCACATCACATAAGCTCCTTACTAAAAAATCCACTACTTTTACAATTTTTTATCTATTATATACGATTATTGGTTTAGTTAATCATTTAGTTTTCATGTACAAACTTTTTGCTTTAATCTTCACATATAAAAATTATATAGTGTAGCTCTTACGTTTTGTTCTTTATGCAACATGATGAGATGCATATAATAAACATGCACATGAAGTAACTTTATACAGCAGCTTAATAACACCAATCCTTTGAACTCAACATGTAACTATGTCACTATGACACGTAAAATGAAGATAAAGTAATCCACTTGTTTGGAAATGACACACGGCAACCTAAGGTGAATAAACATGTGGAGTATACGCATGTGATTTGAACCTTAGCCGTTCATTCATCATTTAATCATTACCATTTCTTAAGGTAAAAGCTTTCCTATCTATGATAATTCATTGGGAAAAATAACCATGATACTAGCTTTTTAATTAATAAGAATTATGACATTTGAAGAAAAGTAGGTGAGTAAAATGTAATGCAGTGAAAAGGATGTGAAACTAACAAGATTGGATAAACATACATGGGAAAGAAGACATGAAAAGAGCAACAGTGTAACAGAGTAGAAAAGGCATCATACAAGAGTTCTGTTGACAGCTCCGACAGTGGAGACGGAGGCAGCCATGGAAGAGTTGTGTTTGGAGTTGTGGAGAGAAGGGGTAAGGTTGTTCTTCAATTGGAGAGTCAGTGCTAGGTGGCTTGTGACCAAAGGGTACGTGGAACTTATAGTAGTTGATAGGTAAGAGAGTGTGCACAACAGGATTGGTCACAGAAGCCTGACATCCACACATAGAAGATTGATCAGCTGCCACGTGGCAACATACTGTGCCTGCAAAGTTTTTTGTCACTCTTAGTCCTAGATTTTGAGGTTGGAATTGCAGCTTTTTCTATCTCCACCAGAATTAAGGAGATTTCATTGCCACACAAGCCTTGAAGGACTTGTGTCGTTTATTCAAATTCAACCATTGGTTATTGTGCTTTCAGTGCTCTTCAATCTTTATAACCAATCATATAATAATATAATATTAGTATTTTGAAGTGCCATAATATTTTGAGGTGGTGTTTTACTTACGGAAAGATGGTAGAAATGACCCCACATGGTAGCCAATCGGTTCAATTCTCAGTTTTCATTAAATTATCTATGTTGGTATTTTCAGGTGGAGAAAAATTGTAGATGAATTATTATTGGTAGAACAAGAAATTTAATTGGTGAGTCAGATAATTTCATGAAGGGGATTGAGCCCTATTACATCCATGGACCCTACGACCATAACAAGCTTATGTCTCTCTCCTTGTCTCTTCTACGTGTTGTGTGTGGCTGTAGAAACACCTAACATTCTTCATGCTGCAATTGAAAGAAATTCACAACTTCACTAGTTTTTTTCAGTGTTGAGCTTCGAACCAAAGAAAAAAAAAATACAAAAAAGGGATTATTGCATCAGTTGACATAATTGATGTTTAATTATCTAAAAATAAGCTTTTTTAAAGAATCTGCATATTTAAATAAATGAAATTCATCTCTCTGGTTGTTTTCCTTCACATGGCACACCAGTCTGAAAACCAATTTTGGTATCTGATAGAAGCTGTTAGATCTTCATCCTGATATAAGAAACTCAACTATATACATATTACTTCGTTTCTTTAGCCTTTTCAGTTATAAAGAAAGAAGAAGAGTGTTATTTCCCCGTCACACTTTTTTTAACTAATTTTTTCATTAATAAAAAATTGTAACATTGTGAGTAATTAACATTTATTCAAATCTTTGAAATTTGAAATGTAGCATACATTTAGAAATTTAGCAATTATTTCTTATCCATACAATTAGAAGAATGTACATTTTTTTTGTGTTTAATTATTATAATGGTATATAAGGTTAGTTATTACTTTGATTGAGTTTTTTTTTTAAAATAATGTTCTAAATATTAAAATCTATTATTATTATTATTACAATTACATTTTATTCAATAAATTTAATTACTATACCATGATTGTACTTAATTAAAATACTTATAAAAAATGAATGTGCCTAAATATATTTAATTTTATTATTAAGATTTCATTTAATAACTTTATTTTTTTCATGATGACATTATATAAACAATGAACACATTTATTCACAATAAATGTTTTGTAAAAAGATGGTACAAAATCTGCAATACAAATATAAATATACAGTAACTCGAGTTATTTTTCTAAGGTTTACAACTTGTAATATATACTCACATCACGTCAATAAGAAAAAATGTTTTGAAAAACCTTTAATCTTGAAGGTTGGTCTTAAAAAGTTACGGATTCCAGAACCTGATTGTGCATGGAGAAAACCTTTAATCTGATTACGTTTGGGCATGAAGAGAAGAAAAAGAAAATCTGTAAATCTACTATGTCTTTTTTATCATAAGAATATGGAGTGTCTTTCTTTTTCAGTCAAATATTTTTATTTTATTTTTATTTTTTTATAATTTTATTGTTTTCAATTTTGAATATAAAAATATTAAAAACAAATGAAACTACATGGATAAAAATAATAAGATAAAATAAGTGTTTGCATACACTAGTCATAGATGCTGACAAATGAGCTTAGGTACAATATCATCAGGTATTAAAAAAACTTTTGGACACTTTAAATTTTATTTTATTTGTCAGTTATGCTATTTAAGAGAATAAGTCGTTTTTTTTTATAGAATAAATATCCTCCTCTGTATAAATAAATTTTCTTTTATTTCTTAATAATGTTATTGATTAGCATTGTTAATTAATAAAATAGATCAAAATTACGGATACGATTTTTTTTTGCTTCGAGTATCTTAAAAATTTTGTTTTCTCGTGTCAAATAACCATGTCAATTATTATATTAATGTCACGTTATTTCTAACAAATCATATAAAAAAAACGATTAAAAAAATAGGTGGCAATACAATGAAAGAAAAAAAAACTCATATAAACATCTAAGACATAATGTATAATTAAAAAAAAAAAAAGTTAAAATTATAAAGTTACAATACTTTAAGGATAAAGTGTCAAATAATTTTTGTAGGAATAATTAACTTTAAAATGTCACATAAATTATTCACCATATTTAAAAGTTTCCATTAAAACTACTTTAAATTAAAACTTCATAAAAAAAGTTAAGGATATTATTCATTTAGTTTTTTTTTAAGAAATTAATAATAAATTTTAAAAAATTACTTTTAAAAAATTACTTTAAATTGAAAAGTAAATGTTTAAAATATAAAAAATATTTTTTATTAATTTTTAAAAACTAAAACACAAAATCAATTTTTTAAAATTATTTTAACAAATAAATTAATAAACAATTTTTAAAATTTTTACAAATTAAAAAAACGTAAATTATTTTTATAAATAATAAACAAATAACCTCTAACTCTTTATTGTTTCCCTGAATACCTGTTTTCTACACAGGCGTGAGAGGGAAAAATACAGAAGAAGACAACTATTTCTCTTATCGAAAACTCAGTATCTTTTAGCATACAATTTTTCCATGTATTTGAGTCTCCAAGGAACGATATGTTCAGTAGAGAAAGCTTTTATTATCAATGATTCAGATTCAAGCCACAAATTCCTCCATCCTTTGAAAAAGTAAACTCTGCAACGGTTATTAGTCTGGTAATGTCTGCGTGCAAAGTATTAACAACTCGGAAATTTTGAGCAAAACACCCCATGATAACAGCCTTTGAATCTCTAAAAATGCCTCCGCAAGCTATATGCCCCCATCAATAATGTTTGGCATTCTTCCTTACCAGCTAACGTATTCCAACCAAGCAACATAAAATTAAGAATACTAAAGTTGCAACTGTAATTCACTTGTACAGGATGATTGCACCAAAACCAACTATTATGCTGTACACATTTATTTTTCAAATTTAATTTAAAATATCCTCAAATATTGGATCTGATTTTCTGTTTATCAAATCAACAGCCTATAATCAATGTGCATATTGGTAACAAACGGTTGTGCAAGTATAAATATTTTTAGTACTTGCACATGGTTTCTTCAAGAACCTTCATATTTTTCAACTGCCAAGACCTGCCCATTATTTATTGATAAATAAAGTAAACAGAAGGAAGAGATAAATAATTCATCAACAAAACAAGGACAAGTGCTTTATAGAAAAAAGAAAAGAAAAACATATGATGATCTCAGGAACACCAGTCTCTTGCATTCTGGAACATGCGCAACCAAGGACTAGGCCCATTCTTCTCCACATTCCAGTGCTTTGGATACCATGGGAACTGCCACATTAAGAAGCAACGCTCTGGATGAGGCATCATGGCAAGATGCCTCCCATCTGGGGAACAAATAGCTGCTACCCCTAAAGGAGAGCCATTCACATTGAAAGGGTAGGCCTCGGTTGGATTCCCAGCATCATCACAGTATCTTAGAGGAGCTAAACTCGAATGAACTATTCGGTCAAACACACCTTCATCTGGAAAATAAGCCCTTCCCTCCCCATGAGCTGCCCATATACCCATTGTGCTACCTGCCATGCCCCTGAACATTATAGCTGGTGAGGGCAGTATGGTAACGCTTGTAAAGCGGCATTCAAACCGCCCTGATGCGTTGTGAATGAACCTTGGTTGATATAGGTCACCACCAGCACCATGCACACCCCCAATTCGGGGACCAGGTACCAACCCCAACAAAGCCATTAGCTGACACCCGTTGCATACACCTAGGCTGAAAGTGTCTGGACGCTTGTAAAACTCCTGAAATTGTTGCAAAACATGCTCATTGAACTTTATGCAAGCAGACCAACCTTTTGCAGAATCAAGGACATCAGCATAGCTAAATCCACCAACAAACGCAATTCCTCGGAACCCTTGCAAAGAGATCTTTCCATTGAGAAGGTCTGACATAGTAACATCCCATGGCTCAAAACCAGCAGCATAAAACGCTGCAGCCATTTCTCTGTCTCCGTTGCTCCCTTCTTCTCTAATCACAGCCACTTTATGTTTCACAGTGGCAGACAAAATCTTTTCCTTAGTGAAGACAGGAAAATAGGTAAGATCCCACGAGGGCTCAAATCGATGTTTTAGTCCTTCTTTCTCCATATCCACACAAGATGCCAGTCTTTGGAACTTTTCCAGCTGAAAACTGGTCTCTTCCCACATGTCCCTAAGGATACTAGTCTTTTCTGTCAAATAAATATCCCCGTCAACCCTAACTTCTATTGACGGATTGGCTGTCACTTGACCAATGATTTCAGCTGACACTCCCACATTGCTCAATTTATCCATTACCAAAGCCAGATTTTTCTTGCTTACCTCAAGAACTAACCCAAGCTCTTCAGCATAGAGTGTGTGGAAGAGGCTGTTACCTTGAGATGCTAAGTTCAAATTAAGCCCGCAATTACCAGCAAATGCCATCTCTAAGGCACAAACAAGAAGCCCACCATCACTGATATCATGGCCAGCAGAGATCAGTTCATCAGTAAGAAGGTCTTGAATACCTTCAAAGACCTTTTTAAGGTAAGGAACGTCATCAAGATCAGGACACTCGTCCCCAACTTGGTCAAACGCCTGGGCAAGGGCAGATCCACCTAACCGCCTCTTACCTTTGGACAAATCAATATGAAGCAAAACACCTTCATCCTTAAGTTTTAAGTCTGGTGTCACTGTTTTTGTTATATCAGGACAAGTAACATAAACACTGATAACAAGATTTCCAGGAGCCTTGACAACTTCTCTATCAGAATGGGCTGCCATAGAAAGGCTGTCTTTCCCTCCATCAATAGCAATTCCAAGTTCAATCATTGCTTCAGATAAAGAAATGGCAGCATCATACATGTCAGCTCCTTCCCCATCCAGCTTGGCAGCATACATCCAATTACCACTAGCCTTGACATCAGAAAGGGAAGTGACCTTTGCCCATACAAGATTTGTTAGTGCTTCTCCAACAGCCAACCGAGCCATTGCTTTGGGATCTAACAAGCCTTTGATTGGTTGTTCCCCAATGGCACAAGCACCTCCAGTCAAATCAGTAAAAGTTTGAGCTGTAACAGCAACGTCAGCTAGGGGAATCTGCAAAGGGCCAACAGTTTGCTGCTGTGCAACTAGACCAGTAACACACCTATCAACTTTTGTTGTCAAGAAGCGCTTTGAACAGACAGATGGTAAACTCAACACCCTCTTCAAAGAATATATCACTGTAATCCCAGGGGCAATATCAAGTGGCTCCCTCTCATATACCACCCGATTAAATTTAAAGGATTTTTTCGGCATGTCACCAAGGACTTTCTCCAATTCAAGATCAACAGCAGGGGGAGGGGGTGGAAGTCCATTTGAAATAGACTGTTGAGTTGCTAAGCTATCAACCAACACAACACGTCCATCACCGCTAATAGTTCCAATAACAGCCATTGAAACTTTTTCCCTGCTACAGATTGATTCCAAGAGATCACGACTCTCAGGCTTCACCAAGATTGCATCCTGCTCCTGATACTCTGCCCCCCAAATTTCTAGAACAGACATTGTATGATCACCAACGACAATTGCTCGGACATCTATCTCAGCACCCTTTGGATATATAATTTCCTTCACAACATTGCAGTTCCCACCAGCACCCTGATCATGGATGCTGATAATTGGATTTTTATCTCCCATCTCAATACAGGCCCGAACAAGACGATATAGTTTTTGAGCCATTTCAGCATCCCCACGTTGCACAGCATTAAAATCAAGCTCTGCATCATTCTGCCCACTGACCATGCTTGAGGCAGCCCCACCTCCCATACCAATACGATAAGCTGGGCCTCCAATCTTGACAACCAGCATCCCAATGTCAGGTTCTCCCTTTGTTATATGAAGATGGTCTATCTGTCCAATGCCTGCACTGAACATGATTGGCTTCAACCATTCTCGTCTCTCCCCACTAGGAAGTCTCATTCCAAAAGTTCTACAGAAACCCTGGATCAATGGCTCTCCAAATTTGTTCCCATAATCAGATGCACCATTACTAGAATCTATGAGAATCTGCAAAGGTGGTGCCAAATTCGAAGGATAAGTAAAGGAGGGATCTTCCCATGGAGCAAAGAAGCCTGGCGCGTTGAGATTCCCAACGCAATAACCAGCTGTAGCTGCCTGAACAAAGGACCCCCTTCCTGTAGCATGTGTATCCCTAATGCGACCTCCTGCACCCGTCTCTGAACCAGGATAAGGTGCCACTGCGCATGGAAAATTGTGTGTTTCAGCTGTAAACAAAATATCTAACTCATGTACTCCAATTTCTAAAGGACATGATGAACCAGGCTGAACTGGGCGGAGCTGCTTTACGGGGAAACCCCTGATTGCACTTGAGTTATCCTTAAAGCTAATAACAGAGTTATTCGGATTTGCCTGCAGAGTACTTTTCACAATTTGCATAAGAGTTTTTTTCATGAGCTGTCCATCAATGAAAATCTTTCCAGTAAAAAACCAATGTCTACTATGCTCACTGTTGGATTGCGCAATATCAAACAATTCCACATTTGTTGGATTGCGCTTAATGTCTTCCCTGAAAAGTTTGGTGTAGTATTCTAAATCCTGGTCATCAAAAGCAAAACCCATCTCTAGATTAATCTCTTCTAATGCCTTCCGCCCCCTCTCCATAACAGGTATATAACGAATCTCCTCTGGAACAACGCTGGTCTCAAAGGACGTTAGCTTCTGGGTATAAACACATTCGGTCATCCTATCATGCACCATAAATGCAAATTCATTGATTTGATGATCTTGCAGTTCAATTGTAGTGAACAACAAGTACCTCCTTGACCGTTCCAAACGGATTACTTCCGTCAATCCACAAGCTTGGCAAATTGCCACAGCATTAGTAGACCACGCTGTGGTAAATGACAACCTAGGACCAACCTCAATTATAATTGGACTCAAACCCTCCTTCCTCTTCTTCTCAAGAAGACTATCAACTCCCAGATTCTCAGGCTCAAATGTTTCTTGAAGAAGCCATTTAAGGACCGCAAATTTTTCACTGGAAAGTTGTGAACTAAGGCCAATATTATAACATTGCTCAGTTTGTATTTCCACGATCTGACTAGAGATTTTCACTTGAGCTTCCTTTAAAAGCTCAGCAGCTGCACTTTCTTGCATAAACGGGAATCGGAATAAATGAACAACTTCCGAAGCAGGCTTCTCGACCAAGCCAGATTGCTCTTCTACAGAACTGCTCACACCCCCAGAAACCGCTGCTCTGGGATTTTCTTGAGCCTGACATCTTAAAGGCAAAGCACTTCGAGTTGATCCCAGAGCCCAATTCCTATTCCAAAGGGTAACCCAAAGCATATGACTTCTCTGTTTCCGAGGCTTCTTCTTCAAAAACAATGTTTGCCTGGAAGTACCCTGAAACCAAAATCACAAAACTCAAACAATGATGAATTTTCATTTGCCAAATTAAACATAGTGCACCAACTTGCCAAATATACAACCAAAACAAACAGATACCCTACCCATGTCAACCATGCAAACTTGCAAGCCATCCCGATATGCTACTACAGCAGTAAAAGAGATGAAAATAAAAGGGGAAGGGAAAAACCATAAAGCATCGTTTCACTTCATTTGCTACACGCTGCAAAACATAGTGATCAACGCAAAACTGACAAATAAAAACAACCTATGCCAAATGTAAAAACCTTAAACGGATCAATTCATGCTATTACATTATCAAAGCATGAAACACCCCCTCCCACCCACCTCCAAAAAAACGCCAATTACAAGTAGTAAATAAAAGGGGTCCATCAAATGATGCTAATTCGTCGAGAGGGAATAAAACCAAACCTTCAGAAATTGAGACACCCCGAATTCCGTGACAGCCGCCATGTCCTCGATCAAGTGTTGGAAAACTCTAAAAGAGGGGGGAAATGAAAACTTTGAGAAGGACTAGCAGATTCGGAAAAGGATATGGCGCGAATAAAAAAACGAATACAGAAACAAGAAGAGTGTGGCAGTAGCGTAAAACCCAGAGGGTGTTGGTGAGGCACAGAATAAAACTCTGTTGATTGCTTTGGCGCTATTTCCTATCCTTCAATTTTATTCTTTGTTCCTGTTCCTCTGTCTTATCGATCAAATTTTTTTTTTTTTTATGGCTTTTTTTACTTAGTCTAGTCAGATCAGCTACTTCATAGAGAGATAGTTTAAAACACCAATACCATATGTGTATTTAAAAAAAAAAGGGACAAGGTAGTTTTAATAATATATTCCAACAATGTAATTAAATTTTCCATTCAATTCTTTCTTATGGATTGATTTTTTATTTGTGCATCACTCACTATCTCCATGTGTAGAAACTATAAATAACAAATTGAGTTATTTTTAATACTAAATATATAATAAATGGATTAGTTTTTGTTTTTTAATTTCACTATTTATTAAAAAATAACATTGACTTTTATAGTTTTCTATCATCCGAGGTTGATTTTATACCTATTCACCCTACATGATCAGATTGTTACACATTTAAAACAATAATAATAAAAAATATTTTGGACGTAAAATTAATCTAGCGATGATTTTTTTTTAATAATAAAAACTAACTTATGATTTTTACTTTCATATTTTGTTTATGAATAACGTCATAAAGAAATAATTCAAAACAATTTGTGATTTTAATAAAATATTATACCTCTTCTTTTGGTATTTTAAAAAACTAAAAGAAATACGATAAAACCTTTTGGAAGTGATCTGAGCACATCTTTTTCTAATTTTGTCCAGTTCAATTCAAATTTTCTGTAGTACTTATTTTCTTTGTTAATGCTTTTCACTAACTTGATTCCATGTTGGACTTTTGATGAATTGAAGAGTATTTTATTGTTGGATGTGAATTTATGACAAAGATAAGTAACTGTTGATGAGGTAGAAATTTAATATTTGACCAATTAACTGCAACTTTAAGATGGCTCTTGGGTACCATAAATAGAGAGGAAAATAGGGGTATACTGATTCATTAATGTCAGGATTAAGATTTTCTGCAGCGATCATGTGATGTGAGAGTTATTTAATATTTATGTTGGTTTTTAATATTCTTCTCCTTTTATTCTGTGTTATTTATTGTAGTTTGACAAAAATATCAAGAGAAAATGCAAAGAAACCCTAGTCCAATAGACATTATTTAGGAAATCTCTGTTATGTTTGGTGACAACCTTGACAAGTCCAAATTAAAGAAAATGTTGGCACAGTAATTTAGATAAAGAATTAAATTAAACCAATAAAAAATTGAATTATAACATTTATATGAAAAATATAACTTAAATGACTAAATTATATACAAAAACATATTAGAAGAATTGGACAACAAAACTCATAAATTTTGCCATTTTATAATTTTATGTCATATATTTTCATTCTAAATCGAACATTTTACATTATTTTTATCTCAATCTGTTTAATTCTGCCTCTTATCTATTTTGTATTTCGACCTGTGAGATACTCTTTATTTAAATTTCAAATATTCATATAATACATTAAAGATAAATCGTACAATTTATTTATTCATATCGCTACGTTAAAATTTCTATCTTTTAATATATTTATTATGTGATATTAACACCCAGACACAGGTTTAGCTATATGATGAGTTTTTTTTTTAATATAATAATTATGATAATTATTTATTATGGTTTAGATGAAACTAATCCGAAAAAAGTTGGGACTAAATGGCTAATATAAATGATTAACATTTTTTTATTAAGCATGCAAAAAAAAAAAAATAACAACTTGTATAATTTTGAACCAACGCTACTGTACTCCTTAACATAAATGTCTAGGAGATGTTGGGTGGTATATAATTAGTTTAAATCACAAAAATTTCTTAATTTTTTAACAATATATTTTTTTTCCCTTTATGATCCTTTACTTTTTAACCAAATATTCATGATCTTTTACCTTTTAAACAAACGTCTATGTATCTAGTTGATTGTAAAATAAACCATACAAATATTCATATTTTAGTAGCTCAATGGTCCCTTTTTTTACCCAATAATGATTTATATCAATTAGAAGATATATTAGGGCAAAGAAAAATAATGGAACTAAAGAAACAGTTAAGCAGATCAATTAAAATAAACAAATTTTGCAAGAAAAACTTAAATTTCTTGACAGTTAAGCAGATCAATTAAAATAAACAAATTTTGCAAGAAAAACTTAAATTTCTTGATAACTCCTAATCTCTGCTATAAAATGGATGATATGGAGGGGTTTTAGAATAAAATTAAATATTTTATTATACATTTTATTGTTAAATGGTTTAAAAGTTGATAAATTTACATTTTTTTCTTCTATTTTTAAAATAAAATTTATTATAAAATATTTATTTTTAAACAATTACAAAATGATTGACATAGAATGTCAGGTATTTTATTAGGTAAGAGGGCAAGCTCTCACTATTCTGTCAGAGTAGAGGCATTATCTTATCTCCAGTTTTCTATCATAAATATGTGTGCCAGGTGTTTGATTTTACGATTGCCACAGGCCCTCACCAGGGACTAGTGTCAACCTTCTGCATCAAATGCTCAATGCAAGGTCCACGGATTGAACCAACCCTCACATGATTTTTTTTTTTTTTTTTTATATATATACTTTAGGTTACAACTATACAAGGAATGTCAAAATAAACTTTGTATGAAATTTGGATTAACGCTTCAGTCTATAATAGTTGTTAAACACTGCTACTAGGCAGAGAAAAAGAAAAAAACATAACTAGTTAATTGAACCGCAACAACATATTAGTTCAATTTCCATTAATTGTTCCCAAACCTAAAATTCATTCTACATAGTTTTGCATGTGAAAATGAAGAATATAAAAGTTAAGACAGAATATATGATAAAAACAATAACTCTCCTATGTTAATATATTGGTGTCTTAAATTAGCTTTAACCACAGACATGTGTTGGAGAGGGGGAGGGGACTGTCGATAGCAGCTACCATTTTTAGCAAGGGAGGATGCACTTGAAAATATGGTTTGTCTCTTTAGTGGAAACCAGGCTGTCATCTGAACTATTGCTAAAGTGGCCTAGGGTTTTATTTAACCCCAGTAATATTGATAATTTACATTCTTCAATTTTCAATATCAAGAAATATAGTTATCTTCTCTGTTTCCCTTTTATATCCTACAAGTCTGCAACAAACATCAAGGACACAAGCAACACACATAAAAGTTTATCCTTAATTGGCTAAGTATTATTCATATTTCATGCCCATCAACCATCCTTCCTATGCATGCTTACTCCATTAATCACTTGATCAACTTCTTAACAACAAGAATTACATAGTAATTTGATGGATTGACAGTAATTTGGAAGCAAAAGATACCGTGTGAACAGAAGAACAAAAAAACTGCAATACAAACTCAAAAATTTGCATAGGTTGGTATAGTATTTATCTGATAAAATTAAACTCGGTATAAATAGCACACTCGTGATAAAGGTTAAATTGGGTGTAAATATCCTCTATTTGACCAGCAGTTAACGCTGACAATATTTTCTGTCTCTTTATGTTGTATCATTTATTATATCTCGTATTTCTCTCTTAGATGTAAGATTTGTTCTATTAACATCCCTCAAATATTTACACTAGCAGGTTTAATATTGGTACTAGTGGAAGCAAACCTAATGGCTAATTCATTTTTTTCAATTAATATGTGACATTTCTATAGCGTTAAATAATGCACATGGATTTCAACCACACAGATGAAACATGAGACAAGTCATGTTACAGTTTCCCACATTCAAAATAAATGAAAATGAGAATACACAAGTGTCAACTTGATGAACGTAGTTGAACAAGAAAGTTATCAATAGGAATATCTACACAAGGAGTGAGTACAAGATTTGAAAGACCTTGAATCCAATGAATACCAAACAATTAAAACAGTGGACAGCTATGCTACTCCCACACTTCATGTCCATGGATAACTATTATCTCACTTAAAAATTTATTAAAAGATGTTCAGTAGATGAGTTTCTTAGCATGAGTGACACAGACCAAAAGACAAATACCTTAAAAAATATTATCCACTATAGGGTCCAAATTTAATGGGTGCAGGTTGGTTCTTCGAAAATACTGAAAAACAAACCCCGTAAAACTTAGAAGACAAAACCAATGGGAACTACACCGAGACAACCTTTTTTTGACACCATCCACGCAGAATAATGTTGACTGAGTTTAACCAGTATGGTCTATTCTAAAGTCCAAACAAACAGCATGAGAGTGATTTAATTCATTCAGGGAAAGGGAGATGAACCGACCGTATACCCCTTCCTTTCTCTTTAAAGAAAAGTTTGTTCCATTTCCATATCAATGTAGCAAGTGCAAAAAACATTCAATGCTGTATAGACTCCAATTAATGCAAATTCCCAGGCTACCACCATCCATAAACTTCCTCTACTTAATGAAGTACAAAGTGTTACTTGGAAGAGTCAAACAATACAGTAGCTTACCACAAATTCTCCAACACAGCTAGCTAGCTCCAATCTTTTTCTGGATCATTTCAAACTCCATCCTTATTACCTACACACAATAATAATCCAACTCTTCCACCAGCAAAAGCAGATCCATTAGACAGAAGAGAAACAAACAAAACAAATGAACAAACCAGCTCTAATACGAAGTGTCTGGAAGATAATAATAATAATAATAATAATAATAACATCTACTCGAGTCTCTTTTAGAAGCAAAAATTAACAAAAAGAACCAGAAAAAAAAACCTAGTCTTATGATTACAAAGAAAAACCGTCAGAAAAATTAACATACTTAATTCACATGTCAGTAAGATTAAGCACATCATCATTGCTTGGGCTCAGAAGGAAGGTGGAGGACGAGGCGGAGCAGCTCCCCAAAACACATCATGAGGCATGTTCTGACCATTGTGTAGCAAATTAGGAGGCAAATTATACATAGGCATTGAAACTTGTTCACCTAAACCCTGAGATTGCTGTTGCTGCTGCTGCTGCTGTTGCACTTGCATTTCCTCTTCACCTTGTTCATCCTCCAGTGGCAGCCTCTCATAGGTAGCATTAGCGAATGTGGCGGCGATCACCATCACCGGCCCGGAGGCCACTAAAGAACCCGCAACGGTGCCTCCGACAACCTGTCCCTGCCCACCGGCCAAATAGACGGAGAGTCCGGTGGCGCCTGGCGGCGAAGGGGAGGGCAAAAACGCCCCTGAGAGGGAGAGAATCTCAAATCTTCCGTGGAGGGTGATGACACCGGCGGGCGCAGCGGGTTGGCGGAGAGTGACGTTGGTGACAATGCCGCTGCCGCTGAGGACCGACACGCCGCGGTGGCGGCGGTTGGCAAAGGCGGCGATGCTCTCGGACACGTCGCTTCCGCTGGCGATTTCCAGCACGTGGCTTCGGAGAGCGTTGGGGCTTTCTTTGGTAATGACGATCGGCGGCTTGGGCTTGTTCTTTGACCCGGGAGGCCTGCCACGAGGCCTCCGACCGCTGCTTCCGGGCTCTGAACCTTCGTGGTTTCCGAGGTTCTGGTTCTGGTCGTCTCCGTTGTCCCTGCTGACCTCTTCCTCAGTCGTGTTGGTGTTGGCGTTGGTGTTGCTGTTGCTGCTATTGGTCGGAGTAGTATTCGCCTTGTTATTGTTCTCCATCAACTCTTGCTCTCTTATCATTCCCACATTCCCAGCCCACCACCGATTCGCCATGTTCGATTCGAGAACTTTATTTTATGTTGAAAACACAGACAGATAAAAAAAAATAGATACTTGAAATCTCTGTCTCAATTAGGCACGAAAGACATGCTTTTTGCATGTAAACCCTAACCACACATGTAAACAGGAGCAGTCACATCCACCTAATTGAGACTATGACACAAAAATTAACTAAGATGAAGAGGCAACACGAAAACTAGAGAGAAAAAGGGTGTAAAGAAGTAGAAGCTAAGATAGGAGAAAGAAAAGACTAGTTGAGGTTGAGGTTGAAGTTGAAGGAGTTTTTTTTTTTTTTTTAACAAAAACGCAGTGTTTTCGGGGGTTGTTGTTGCAGCAGAAAAGATATGCTGCGGTAATATGGTAATATGCTTTTGTAATTGTACCTCAATCTATGCCACTAAAAGGGTCAGATTTGTACGGGCATAAGATGGAAACAGTGGGTGGGAAGTACCTTGAGAGTGAGGGGGTCCTCTACTGTTTTTTTTTCTTTTTGTTAATATTTTTTGGGAGAAGGAAGATGATGTTTGCAGTAGCAATAGCAATAGGAAAAGCAATAATGGTTAAGTTATGTTATGTAGTAGAAAGAAGTAATATTGGAGGGTTGGGGTTAGCACAGAAGATTAAGCGGTTTTGAGGAGCGAGTGGTTTTGGGTTGTCTCCCTGGTAAGCGGTTCTTGTGTTGTGTTCAAAGTTTTCAACTTCCGAAGCAAGCAGAACTCCATCCACTTGTTGTTGTTGTGTCACCTACTCACCCAGCTTCCTTCAAAACAATACTAGAAGAGAGAGAAGCAAGTTGCGCGAGGTGTGCAAGAAAAAAGAGTTAGCATGGTGGCTTGAGTGACGCGTGGGGTGGGCCTTCGATGTGAATGAACTCCATTCACTCCACCCACCTTTTACATTTACATCACATTCAATCCATCTTCTTCCTCCTTTCCTTTCTAAATCTATACATCAATCTTTATAAAATTTACTTTCATTCAAAATCATTATCCTTTTATTTTTAGTTTTATCAGTAACAACAAAAAATATATTTGATAGTAACAAGTCATATTTTTTTTTACTAAGTTACTTGTATCCAAAAACTCCTTTACAAAGACGTTTTCTTTCGAAATCATCATATATTTAAAAGGGTCCTACTTTTTAACATCTGAATGTTAGTACATTTTCCCCGTGTATACGTTCATATACTTTTATTCAAACTTTTTAATAACAGTTTATTAGTCAACTATAGCATAAACTTTTTTTAATATTATGAATGTATTTTAATTATATTCTTAATAAATTTAATGCAAATGATAAAAGAACATGGGATAAAATTAAAATATTTAATATTTGAAAATGTAAAATGTATATGATTTTATTTTTACGTGAAATTTTGGTAAAATGTAAGTGGATAAGAAAAAAAATACCAAAAATGATATTAATTAATTAAAAATATTTATTAAAAAAAAAGGAAGGTTATAATTAGGGCGGCAGGAGCAGAGGTGGGGCACAACAATGTCTGCAAATGGCGACAAAAATAACGAATGCCGATGTCTCTGAAGCATCACCGCCACCAACATTATTTATTACTATGCTCCATTCACAAGTAAATAGTCTGGACTTAGTAATAATTTTTGTATTTTTTTTATTTTTCATCACAGTGATTATTTTATTTTAACCTTTTATTCATACAAATTAATCCTCAAATATATATAAAAAAAATTAGTAATGAAATGACAGATACAAATATTAATATATATATATATATATATATATATATATATATATATAAAAAGTTAATAGAAACTATTAAACATTTGAAACAATCAACACACAGTTGCACATTTAGTTTTGAATTAGTCACTTAACAATATTTATTTGTCTGGAAATGAAATATGAAAATAATGTCAACTATATTGAAAAGTGAAAATATTTTTGTTTTTATACATATTTTTCAATTTAGATTATTTTTTCATGCTTTATTAAATAAATTTAAATAATTTGAAAATTTTAATATTATATTTTGTTTACTTTTAAAAAATATACTCTCATTTGTGTTTTTTAGAAATTGATAAGAAAAAAAAAGACCGAAAATAGAAGAAGAGAAAGTTAAAAAATGAAGTAAAATAATCGTATCCTGTTTACGTAGTGACAAGCAGACGAATCTCTTTTTAACCTGTGAATGCAGTGCCATTTTATTTTGTGTTTGAACATAAACGAGAGAAAGACAAATTTTATGTGTAAATATATTTTTTATCATAATATATTATCTGTTGAAGAAGTTTATAAATAAAATTTTGTAAATAATCTATGAATGATTTTCTTTTGTAATAAAATTTATACTGAACCAAGGAGATAAGTCTGTGGTAGAATAACGTGTATGAGTTGTTTGTCTGGTGTGAGACGCTTAGCTTGTTGGAGCTTTGAATGAAATTATGGTGATTCTGTTGTGAACGGCGACGCGTAGTGATGTTGAGCATGGGAATTGGGATCACTGCCACCAATACGTGTGAAGTGATGCCACTTTTGCAATGAATGTATTGTACGCGACCAGAAAAGTGGTCATGGAACCCAGAAAAAGAACTCAGAATAAATACATCTTACAGTAAAGTAGATGCTTGTGAAAAAGGGAAAAAAATAACTTAATGGAATGAACATAAGCAAACATTATCTCATCATATAAGTTCTGTATTATAAATGAGATAAAAATAATTATTTTATGAATAAGTGAAAGTGAATAGTATAATTAATATAATTTGTTGTAAGATGAGAAAGAAGGCAAGGATAACAGGTGAAGGTTGCATAGATTGTGTAGAAACAAAAGAAAAAGGAATGGGTGGTTAGTGTCTTTATGTAGGGCAATGTCCTCCATGATCCAATCCTGGGGTTTTCATCAAAGGTCGTTTTCAGGTCCATCATCACATATTTAGAAACAAAAATGGCAGCCAAGTTTGTTCCACAACTGCTATCTTATCTCCATTCAGACGTCAACTTTTAAATTTCTTTCTTTCTTTTAACTACCACTTTAAATAAATTATGATAAGATATACGTAGAATTGTATCGAATTTATTTATTCATTATATATATTAGTTATAGGTGTGAAGTGTTTATAACAAATTGTTTCAATTTAGCAATTTATATTAGGTTAATATCTTAAATTAAGACATGGAATATACAACCATGATACATGAGGGTGAGACGAAATTTAAAAAAAAAAACGAAATATATTGGATTAACGTTGATTATGTTTTGTTTTTATTTATAAAATTATAAAACAGAATAATTAGAATAATTTAACTTGGATTAATCGACCAACGGTCAAATCAAATTAAAGAATGTGTATAGAATTTTTTTATTTAAAAAAAAATAGTGAAGTTTGAAAAAACTAACCTCATCCATGACTAAAATTCAAACACGATCAAATTCTAAAAAACTAGAGAGGAAAGGGATAAGTCTGGTGGCCAAAATTCAAATTGGATCAAATATATAAAATGGCAGAAAAGCAAAGGATAAGTGCTCCGAAGATTGATTAGCTAGCACCTCTGAAAGCAACACCATGTAACATCGTTATCCATTTTCATAATACAAGATGAGGACAAATTTGGGAAGTGAGGTTTTTTAATATAATAATGGCTCGTCACTGATAGCAGTTGAAATAGAGATTTGTGGGTTTGAGTTTTCTATGAGAACATGGTAGATTTTATTGGAAAAGACTGATGAGATAGAGTTTGAATTTTGAACATTGAAATTATAACAAAAATTTAGTCAAGCAACTTGAGCAGCATGAGATGGCACACAGACCGGACGCAAACCTCATCTGGTTGGTCATCCAAAATCCAATTGGCGATAGGGTCCAAAGTTCAGTTTAGATGTCGTAATTGGTATTCATTTAGTAAGTAGGAAGTGGATATGGAAGTAGAGAAAAGAAGATAGGAAACTACGAGAATCAGAAAAATAAAATTAAAAAGAAAGTATAACTTTTTTAATTGTTTAAATCAGGAGAATAGAAAATACAATTATATGTTTATTAGATTGGTTTGATTCTAAAAAAAAAAATGGGGAAGAAACTTAAATCTTAAAGTTAATTATAAAGGATTTTAAAATTTTAAATAATTTATTAAGGTTTAAAATAGTTTGAAAGATGATCAAATTGAACATCTAAACAAAAAAAGAAAAAACTGACTTAAGATGCATCAATACGCAACATAGTCATGGCAACAAAGTTCACACCCTTATTGCCAACAACAATCATTTGTTGGTGATTCAGTCCATGCCAGATGAAGTGCAATTATGTTGCAATACATAGTGTAATGGCACTTGGCACTAGATGGATACTAATAGATAGATATGTTGAATGATGTGGAAGGGGGTCCAAGTGCACCCATAATCTAACAGTGTTAGGCACCAAAGTAGGACTATGTAAATTTTTAAAATGCTAAAATAATTCATTCACCAATCACAACAATTTGATCATGGGTGGTCCAAAACGCAAGTGGCCACCACTTTGTTCACATGATCCAACAATGAAAATGTCATTTTGCTTCAAGTAATTCTCATGCTGGGTTGAAATCCATGCACACTAAATCCTCCATCAACAGAAATAACTTGTCCAGTGATGTAAGAAGCTGCTGGCAAGCAAAGGAAAGTCACCAAGGATGACACTTCATGTGCTTCTGCCAATCGCTTTACTGGCGTTCGAGATATTATCTCATTAATAAGCTCTTTGTTTGCGAGCAACTGGTAGAAATAAGGTAAAAATTAGCACCCCAAATTCAGAAGATAATATTATCATTAGACGATTAATCATTACTGGTGATCGTGTTAACATACATAATAAACCAACATACACACCAATACACATGTGTGATGTTATTTGGATGGGACTAAATTAACCTCAAAAGATGTGGAAGACTAAACACCTTGAAGATAAAGTTTACAAAACTGGACATCAGTGGATAATTCAAGAACTACCCAATAACGGATATTTCAATAAACATAAGAATAGATTCTGAGATCTTCATATATTTTAAATTTGAACTAACTCAACCCAAAAACTAGCTCAAGAGATGAATATTGTCCCCTCTCCTCCCAACTTATATACACAATTTCCATCATATTTATAGCTAATGTGGAATGCCCAATAAGCACAGTAACGCCATGTTGATAGCGTTGGGCCCCACAACAGTTCCTGACATTAACCCAACAAGTTGTCTGCGTTGGGTCTCTAGTCATCCAACTCAACGAGGTATCTCAATATCCAGGCTAATTACACCTCCTTATAACACAATGCAAAGGATTAGAGGGTGTAAAGATTGATTGAAAGACACTCCTTTTATCTGAATACTCTTACACTGCTGAATAAATCCTTAAAGGAGCATGAATATAAGAAATTCAAAGCTCAAAATATATATTGACAGGGTCAACAAAATAAAAGAATACTATCAGCTTAGAATTATTCACTAATGTCCGAGTTCACTGCTGATCCAACTCAATTTTAATTAGTCAAAATAATTAACCAATCGTCAGAAAGAAAAAATGACTAGTACTTGGAACAGAAAATAAACCAGGGTGAAAGAGTATATTACATGTTCCACAAATGATGTTTTGGTATACCAGGGTGCAACACTGTTGCTCCTGATATTGTCTTTAGCCCATTCACAAGCAAGATATTTGGAAAGATGATCGATTGCAGCTGAAGAAAATAGCACAATGAATAAATTTTGTTGATATCTTTCAAAATAGTTTATAATCTACGTTTGAGCTGGAGATGACGTAATTATACATCAACTCACCTTTAGTTGCTGCATAAATGGCTCCAGAACCAACACTTTTCTGACCTGCAACAGAGGAAATGAACACAATACTTCCATTTCCAGATGCTTTAAGAAGAGGATATGCAAGTTGGCACAGATAGTATGCAGAGTCCAAGTTAGTTGCCATCAATTTTGAATATTCTTCGGTTGTATACTCTATCGTTGGCTTCCTCACATTTGTTCCGACATTGTTTACCTAAGCACACAAAAATAATCATAAAAACAAAACTTATTATGTGCTGAAATCTTGCTCATAAGAGAAATATGTCTACTGAATGGATTTCAAGCAATATATCGTTGGCTTCAATTATTGGCTGTATACTAATGCTGCCTACTGAATGGATTTCAAGCAAGTATAAGAAAGTCTTAATCAGTCAAATACAACAATAAATAAATTGTAATTATTTATTTTATAAGTCAGTAACCACTTGCAAATTGAGTGCATGTAAGACGAGAAAACGATGAAGAACAAACTCTTACACATTGAGTGTTTTACCAGGATCTTATTACAAAACATGATACAATCATATAGCAATACAAAACACAAACTGAAACCCCTGTTTGAATGGTAATACAGGAGATCAATCTCTAACAAATTCAGTAACTAATATCCCCAAATAAAATAAAGAGTCATCAATACAACTGAACAACAGGTTGTCCTGCCTACTATGTCAAACACAAGCAGAGCCTCCGAGTTGCATCAGGGTACGTGGCAGGGTATAGGAGCTCTAAAATAATTTGAAATTTAACATGGTAAACAAATTAGTAAGGGGCCAATCCATTCACTCAATACCCATTTTGACAGCATAGTTTCCTTGATTTCAAGTACTATCTTGAGATGTATCATATCATTATTACATACTCTAGGATAGTATCCATAGTGCCGTAGTCAGGGATTTCCCACATTCATACATTCGGTTTATCAGAATAGGTGGATAAAGATCGAACCATTCATATTTGATCTTGACAAATTCAATCCAAGACATGTATTTGAAATATGAATCGTTTTAACTTCACCTAGCAGTTCGGATTCATGAATGTGTGAATATTAGAGATCGATTTCAAATATTATAAATTAGTGACGACTCTTTATAAAGCTGAAAACACAGGTTATCCTGACTACTATTCTAAACTACTTTAAACACAAATACAAAACAAATAAGCTATTCCAATTTCCAAATATACAAATAAAAAAGGAAGAAAGTGTCACAAGTATGTTGAGTTTGCCGTTGAAGGCAGAGGCCACTTGTTGAATGAGTTTCTCCCTTTGGGCTGGAGAAGACGCATCACAAACCGACCCAAAAACCGAAAACCCTTTCTCTTTCCACTCCTTCAAGCATGCATTCAGCTCCTCTTCATTTCTGGAACAAGTGTACACCGTGGCACCAAACTCCGCCAGTTCCTCCACCACAGCATTACTGAGTCAACAATGAAACCACATCACATCACACCCAGAAATAAAAAAACAGCATGAAAATAAAAACGCAACTTTAAGTCGTTTTAACAAACGCCAGAAACAAGAAACCCAAATCAGTTCATGCAGCAAATAGAATCCACAAAAAAAAAAAGAAAAAAAAAAAGAGGAAAGCAATAACGATTTAGGAACGTGTAGAAAGAATTGAGAAACTGAAAAAAAAACGAACCCGATCCCACGTGTGCCTCCAGTAACGAGAGCAGTGTTTCCCTTAAGTGACCATGTTGAAGCTCTGCTACTACCCTCTGGGTTCGCCATTGTTGCTTGCTTTTGCTTACGTTTCTTATCTTCTTGGGAGGTGACCATGAAGATTGAGGATCGTGTTACTTTATCATCTTACCTCGAAACGACGACGCTTGTGATTGGGCATATAGATCATTGCCAGTGCTGATGCCCTTTTTATATTGGCTCATATGTGGGGGTTGTTTGTGTGTTTTCACAGCTGATTATGAAGAGAGTAGCTTATGTAATGGTTAAGACGAAGTTTAATTCTTTGTTTAGAAAAAACTTGGTTGAGTTGAAAGGTTGTTTTAGTTCCTTAAAAATATTAATCTCCCATAATATTTCGGTGGAAGAAAATGAAGGGATGAAAGGAAATTTTTTTTTTTTTAATATATTATTGGTTGATTCAAGTTTTAGCATGAAACTGAATGAAAATGAAAATAGAAGGCATTGACGTGAACATGACCTATGATAAGAGTTAGAGCAAGAGAAATAAAAGAAACTCTTCAACAAATATTGTTGGTTAACCAAATTATGATTTGAATTAATCAATTAATGGGCTTTAGTTTGATTTTATTTTAAGTTGTAATAAGGGTCCAATTGAAAATTTAATCATCAGCCTTTGGGAGACCAAGGGGTGCATAGCTGATTGACTTTTGATTGCCACAGTTTCAGATACAATCAGTCATTAAGTAGTTTCAATCCCTAAGTTAATGAATCATTATTAGCCTTTATTTGTTTTCATTAAATAGTTTTCAATTCCTAGATTAATGGGTTATTATTAGTATTTATTTTCTTTTACTGAGTCTTTTGTAATTCTGATGGTAACGCTTCTATATCAGCTGAACCATTCTTATCAAGAAATAACAAGTGGAATTTTATTCAGAAATATTAGGGTTTATCTTTTTTATCTTAGTGAGAGTGATTCTCCTAAATTTTTTAGTGATTCAAGAACCCTTGGCTGTATCAAAGGACTTTCACATCATTTGTGTGTTGTCTCCCTTGGGAAGTGTGATTCTTTCCTTCCACCTTCTTTTTTAATTCCTAAATTTCTTACAAGGTTCTGACCCTAAAGATCCTAAATCACCCATTGTGATTCATATCATTTGGTATTCAGAGCTCCGGTTGAAGGGTTTAAACATCAAATTGATGGTAGAAGAGAAAAATTACAATCAAGAAGCAGGAATTAGTCAATTTCAAATGAGAGCATTGATACAACATTTGGAAGGATTAATGATACGACATAACAATGAGCTTCATGAACGATTACACCGGTTGGAGAATAGAAATCCTGAAGACGAAGAAGAAAGGAGAAATAGGAGAATGAATGATGGAGTAACAAGACCAAGTAGGCTTGAAGGAGTCAAGCTTAACATGTTAGTTTAAACTGTAATTGAATATGATCTTCTTCCTTATGATCAAACATACATATATAATCCCATATTGTAAACATGTTATGAACTAAATGCGAAAGCGTACCTGAATTATCCATAATGATGATATTCTTTGTAGAGCACCTTTGATTTGATCTTATGGTCTTTAATGTGGGATCATAAAATTTATATCCCCTGGATCTTTCAGCATAACCAATAAAATAACTACTTACTGTTCGGGAGTCCAATTTCTTTTCATTTGGCTTATAAGGCCTTGCCTCAACTGGACATCCCCACACATGGAAATGCTTCAGACTAGGTTGTCGCCCAGTCCAAAGCTCATAAGGTGTTTTGGTCGCTGCTTTAGTTGGTACTCTGTTCAGAATATAAGCTGTCGTCTTTAGTGCCTCTCCCCAGAGTGACTCCGGTAAGGTGGAATGACAAATCATACTCATGACCATATCTTTAAGAGTTTGATTTCGTCTTTCAGCTACACCATTCATGCTAGGTGATCCCGGCATGGTATACTGTGGGATAATTCCACACTCCTCTAGGTACCTGGCAAAAGGTCCTGGACGTTGTTCACCTGACCCGTCAAATCTGCCATAGTACTCACCACCACGATCAGATCTGACAGACTTAATTCTTTTATTGAGTTGATTTTCAACTTCAGCTTTAAATGTTTTGAACACGTCTAGAGATTGTGACTTTTCATGTATAAGGAATAAGTATGCATATCGTGAATAATCGTCTATGAATGATATAAAGTATTGTTGACCATTCCACGAAGGTGTAGGAAATGGCCCACAAATGTCCGTATGTATCAACTCTAAGACGTCTGTAGCTCTATATGCACCTAATCTTTTCGCTTTGGTCTGTTTGCCCTTAATGCATTCAACACAAACATCAAAGTTTGTGAAGTCAATGAACTCTAAGATTCCAGTTGACACAAGTCGTTCAATTCTATTTTTAGAGATGTGACCTAAGCGCCTGTGCCATAATGCTCCTGAGTGAGTATCATCAATTTTACGTTTAGTACCCCGTGATTACGTATTAAGGGTTTCATTATAGGTGGTCACGAGTATCAAGTAAATACAGATTATCATAAGGCAAAAGTGAACCAGTTCCAATAATATCTGAATTAAAAGACAAACTGAACTTATTGTTTCCAAATGAACACAAATAACCTAATTTGTCTAGATAAAAAACTGAAACCAAATTTCGTCTAAATGACGGCACAACAAAAGTGTCTTTCAAATCCAAATAAAAACCAGTACTCAATAACAATTTAAAATTCCCTATGGCTTCCACCTCTACCGATTTGCCATCTCCAACATATATCCATCTTTCAGAATCAATTGGCTTCCGGTAGCTTAGGCAACCCTTTATAGAAACACTGATGTTAGTAGTTGCACCTGAGTCTAACCACCAAGTGTTACTAGGTACTGACGCTAAATTGACTTCAGAATAGACCAAAGTAGGAAACATACTTTTGAGGATCGGAATATAATTTAAATTGGCAGATACAGAAGCAATTATAGCTGGATTAGAACAAAAGAAATAAACTAATTATGCTCACATTATAAAAAATAAATAATTATAAATAAAATATATATTCAAATAATGGTTTAACCCATCTCAAGACACCCAATGCACCATCAATATCAAGTCTTTGGACGAGTAATATTAACTGCTAGAGGTATCTTGTTGTAATAATCAAACATTGACAATAAAGCACGTCCAACAACAAACCAGTCTTTGGATTGATTTATCATCGACAAAGCAAATCCTTATAATTATCACATGTTTATCATTACAAGTGTGTGTGCAATTCGGCCAAATATTAATCTTCATTTGGGCCGACTAATACTCGCATGAATATACACAAAACACTAACATTCAATATTTTTCATGAACTGCCCAATTCAAGAGAGGTTACTTTGGTAACTTCTTGACTCAATTTGCTCACAAAAAAAATATTAAACTACCAAAAAATTTGAATATTATATAACAAAACCAAAATTTGTTTATTTATTTATATATAAAAAAAATATGATCTGAAGCACTTTCAAGCTGTACATTTGAGTAGTTGACAGGAGATCGATAATGGGCACTCATCAAAAAAAATATCTCAAGGCCAGTGGATGGTAAATGTCTATAACCTGACGTATTGTGAAAAAAAAATTTCCCAAATGTTGCAGGTAGCATCAATTGTCCTGTGACGAAGGTCAGGTGGGCGAGTCACAATTGAATCGTGGTGTTTGGGTTGTTAAAGTAGTGAATCGTGGCGCTTGGGCTGTTAAAGTAAAAAGAGTTGCGCTCTGACTAATGACTATAGCTTTTGGCCTAGTGGTAAGCGCTCGATCCTAACAATTGATATCAAAGTCACCCATACATTATTCATGTTTGTGTTAGAAAATATTTAAAAATTGAGAATCCTAGGGTTTCTTAAAATCCGATTCTCTGTTCCGTGTGTGACATTATCTGGAGACGGCACAGATTGTTGGCAAAATTTGGGTCATGTATATATATGATACATATTTAAATGTGTTAGGGTCATTATTTATTAAGCCAAATAATAAAGTGATTTGAATAAATTAAAGTTTTGACTAAAGGCATATGTCATGAAAATAATATTGTGTAGAGACCATAAAGTAATTTCTAATTTGATGAGGGGCCCAATTGGAAATACTAAAACTTAAGTAATTAACATAATTTTGGTTATATAAAGGGTCATGGTCCCCTTCTGAGAGCACACAGAAAAAATACATTTACAGTCCCGTTCTTTTCTTTCTATCCCCATCAAGAGAGAAAATCAATAGGAAAATACAGGTGTTCTTCAGGTGGAATTGTTGCGGGTTGCACAATTGTCCCGTGGCGGAGGCTGGGTGGGCCAAGTCACAATCCAAGAGTGGGATACCTTGTAGGACAATTGCTGAGGGGGAGATTGTTACAGGTAGCATCAATTGTCCTGTGACGAAGGTCAGGTGGGCCGAGTCACAATTGAATCGTGGTGCTTGGGCTGTTAAAGTAAAAAGAGTTGCGCTCTGACTAATGGCTATAGCTTTTGGCCTAGTGGTAAGCGCTCGATCCTAACATAACATTCCTCCGTTCAAAGAAAAAAGTTATCCGGAAGCATACTTGGAGTGAGAGATGAAAATAGAGCATGTTTCCTCATGCAACAATTATGAGGAGACCCAAAAGGTGAGACTTGCAACAACATAATTTTCTGACTATGCTCTTGTTTGGTGGAACAAGCTACAAAAGGAGAGAGATAGAAATGAAGAGTCAATGGTTAATACATGGACTGAGATGAAAATGATCATGAGGAAGCGGTATGTGTTGGCTAGTTATGCAAGGGACTTAAAATTCAAACTTCAAAAACTTACTCAAGGCAACAAAGGGGTTGAGGAGTATTTCAAAGAAATGGACATGCTCATGATTCAAGCAAAGATTGAAGAAGATGAAGAGGTAACTATGACCCGATTTATTGGTGGTTTGAATATTGATATATGTGATATTGTTGAGTTGCAGGAGTTTGTGATATGGAGGATTTACTTCATAAAGCAAATCGAGTGGAGCAACAACTCAAAAGAAAAGAAATGACTAAGAAGAGTTCTTCCAACTTTGGATTTTCAAGTTGGAAGAACAAAGGCAAAAAAGATGGGATTGTTACTTCTAGTAGTTCCACACCTATTCCTACAAAGACTCATTCAAAATATGAAGAACAACCCTCTAAAAAAAGTAGAGATGTGAAATGTTTCAAGTGTCAAGGCCTAGGACACTATGCTTATGAGTGCCCTAACACAAAGATCATGATTCTTAGAGAGGGAGAATATATAAGTGAATCTGAGGTTGAAGAGGGAGAAAAGAGTGAAGACACTGAGGAGGAGGAAGAGATTCCAAAGGGAGATTTATTGATGATTAGGCGATTACTTGATAGTCAATTGAAACCTATGGAAGAAAGTCAAAGAAAAAATATTTTTCACACTAGATGTTTAATCAATGACAAGGTGTGCATGATGATCATAGATGAAGGTAATTGCACCAATGTGGCTAGTGCTAGATTAGTATCAAAGCTAAATTTAGCTACCAAACCACATCCTAGGCCATATAAACTTCAATGACTTAGTAAGGATGGAAATGTGCAAGTGAGACAACAAGTTGAAGTGGACATTTCCATTGGAAAATACAATGATAAGGTGTTTTGTGATATTATTCCTATGGAAGTCAGTCACTTACTTTTAGGGAGACTATGACAATTTGATAAAAAAAGTTCATCATAACGGGTTCACCAACAAGATCTCTTTCATGCACCAAGACAAGAAGATTGTGCTCAAACCTTTGAGTCCACAAGAAGTGTGTGAGGATAAAAAAAAATGAGAGAAAAACTTCTTCAAGAAAAGAGAAAGAAAGAAAGTGTTAGTGAAACACTTGAGAGGAAAAAGAGTGATCAAAAGAAGAGTGAAACACTTGAAGTGAAGGAAATTTATTTAGCTATAAAAAGTGAGTATAATGTTAATTTTACATTCAATTTGTCAGAATTATCTTTTTTTTTTTATGTAGATGGCGAATCTAATTTGAGGACAAATCCTTTTCAAGAGGGAGAGAATGATGTGAACATGACCTATGATAAGGGCTAGAGCAAGGGAAATAAAGGAAGTTCTTCAACAAATATTGTTGGTTGACCAAATTATGTTTTGAATTAATCAATTAATGGACTTTAGTTTGATTTTGTTTTAAGTTGTAATAAGGGCCCAATTGAAAATTTAATCATCAGCTTTTGGGAGACCAAGGGGTGCATAGCTGATTGACTTTTGGTTGCCACAGTTTCAGACAGTCATTAAGTAGTTTCAATCCCTAGGTTAATGAATCATTATTAGCCTTTATTTGTTTTCATTAAATAGTTTTCAATTCCTAGATTAATGGGTTATTATTAGTATTTATTTTCTTTTATTGAGTCTTTTGTAATTTTGATGACAACATTTCTATATCAGCTGAATCATTCTTATCAAGAAATAACAAGTGTAATTTTATTCAGAAATATTAGAGTTTATCTCTTTTATCTTAGTGAGAGTGATTCTCCTAAATTCTTGAGCGATTCAAGAACCTTTGGCTGTATCAAAAGACTTTCACATCTTTTGTGTATTGTCTCCCTTGGGAAGTGTGATTATTTCCTTTCACCTTCTTTTTTAATTCCTAAATTTCTTACAAGGTTCTAACCCTAAAGATCCTAAATCACCCCTTATCATTTCAGGTAGCAAATATTTTCGTCACCCATTTTTCTTCCCCTCCTATCTTTTTGATCAAGTAGAGTCATGTGCTCATTAAGGGTGTTTGCGATTTGAAAATTTGAAAAGAAAAATCATATTTAATCACTTCGCTTTTGTAATTTATCATCCAAGTAAGTTTAATTAAAAAATTTAATGTGATCTAACGGATTTGTTTTAGTATTATTTTTTGTTTTTTTTAAATAGTAGGATATAGTAAATATAATTAAAAAACTTTACATATTAATATTTCATTTACATATATCATTACATAATTAATAATAGTATGTAACTTCTTACCTATATATTACATGAAAAATAATTTCATACAAGTTGGTAGTTATATTTCTAGATCTTGACTCAAATTTTTAGTAAAGTTTATCATTACTTAAATATATTTTTCATAAATAAATATAAGCTGTTTTTTAGTAGATAAATAGAAATAAGCTATGTAATGATTTTGTAAATATATTATACTGATGATCATGCTAACACTTATGCCATAATGGTTACATTGGGCCTCGCAACAATTCCTAACACAGCCCAACAAATTGTATGGGTTGGATCTGTAGGTATCGAAATCCATGAGGTGTCACACTGATGTTTGAATGAAAGAAATAAAACATTGAGCATTACCGGTTTATGAAGTGATGTGTTGGTATAGCAGGGTGCAACACTGTTACTCCTTATAATTCAGAAGCAAGATATCTAGAAAGCTGATTAATTGCAGCTGAAGAAAACAGCGCAATGAATCTATTTCGTCAATATCTTTCAAAATAGTTTGTAATCTATGTTAAAGTCGGAGATGACATAAGTATACATCAACTTACCTTTATTTGCTGCATAAATGGCTCCAGACCCTATGCTTGTCTGACTTGCAACAGAGGAAATGAACACAATACTTCCATTTCCAGATGCTTTGAGCAGAGGATATGCAAGTTGGCACAGATGGTATGCAGAGTCCAAGTTAATTGCCATCAAATTTGAATTTTCTTCGGTTGTATACTCTATTGTTGGTTCCGTCACAGTTATGACAACATTATTTTCCCTGATGTGTTACTCAACTTTTGATGTTCTATCCAAACATAACAAATCCAATTTTACGTGTATTTGAAATGTGAACCATTTGATCTTAATCCAACAGTTCCTTTTTATGAATTGTGTGAATGTTAAATATCGATTTCATGTCCTATAAATTAGTATGCTGAGCTTGCCGTTGAAGGCAGAGGCCACTTGCTGAACAAGGTTCTCTATTTGGGTTGGAGAAGAGAAGACACACATCACAAGCAGATCCAGAAACCCAAAACCATTTCTCCTTCCACTCCTTCAACCATACATTCAGCTCCTCTTTATTCCTGGAACAAGTGTACGCCGGGACCCGAAACTCCTCCAGGTCCTCCACCACAGTAAAACCCCAGAATCAACATACCCAATTCAATTCATGCAAAAGAAAAACGACATGTAGTGCGAGAAAAAGAGGGAGAGAAGCTAAAAAACACTAAACCGATTACACGTTTGCTTCCAGTAACAAGAGCAGTGGTTCCCTTAGGTGACCATCTTTGAGCCTCTGCTACTTCCCTGTGTTCGCCATTGTTGTTTGTTTTTGCTTACATTTTACCGTTTTGTGAGTTGTGACCATGAAGATCGAGGGACATGCGTGAACGTTCACCGTCCTTTCTCAATTGTGTGTTTTTTTAAGTCATGTCACAAAATGTGTTTGTGATGGGCATATAGATATCTGCTAGTATTGATGACCTTTCTTATGGGCCCTATTACTATTCTGATGTCCCGATGGGCCCATTTGTGGGGTTGTTCGTGTCACTGTTGATTAGGCAAGAGAGTAACCATGCTTCCTTTTTAATCTCTTGAAAAAGGACTCACGTGCACAATTGTGCTATACAATGTAAATATGACAAACCCTTGGTCAAAGTGAAATCACCAAGTCATCAGTTTAAGTACTATTAGCAACATTATTATACTCAATAGTCTATTTATACTCGTAAAAGGTACCTAAACTCGATTTATAAACTTATAAAATTCTACTTCATATTAAAAATATCAATTTAATAATAAATATTATAATATCAATTCTATATTATTGAAATAATTAAAATAAATAAATAAAAAATTATTAATATCAATTCTATATTATTGAAATAATTAAAATAAATAAATAAAAAATTAATTGAATTTATACAACGAGTGTAATCAAAATTAAAAAAAATAAAAATCCTTCAATTTTTTAAATATCTTTATCTATTTAAAACCCTAAAATCTCAATTCCTTCAATCCCTCTCCATTTGTGCCAAAACCCTATAATTTTATATTCTTCAATCTAACCTAAACGACGGTGAGCAGTAGCGGCAAGAGGAGCACGACCACGACACAACCAATACATGATCACTATGCAACCACCACGTGACCAATGTGTTACCTAAGCGATTGTCGTGTGACCAACACGTGAACACCATGCAACCAAGGGCGAGCACCCAACGACGACCATTGCGCTACCCAAGCGAGCACACAATGACAACGACAAGTAGTGATAAAGTGAGAAGGAGTGAGATCTGAAATTGTGAGAAGAAATGAGGAGAGTCAGAGAAGATCTAAGTTAATTTTCCTTCAAAATCTGTGAATCGTCTCTAACTCGCGAGTTTAATTAGAATTTACCGAGTTCATCGAGTTTAACTTCGAATCTACTCTAAAACAAGTTTACTCATAAATTAACTCGTAACCGGTTACTTGACTCGTTAACTCGTACAAGTCAACTACAAGTTAACTTGAGAGTTTGTGTAATTAGTAATTCGAATTTTAACACTTTTATGTATAGAAAAAACTTATTCAAAGGTGGTTCATTGTCTCTTATGCAAAGATATTAATCTTACATATGTAGGAGGAAAACAAAGAAGTTGAGAAAAACAAAAATTAAATATATTGTTTGATTCAATTTGTAGAAGAAATTGGGTGAAGAGAAATATTTTTTCTCACCTCCAATATATTATTTGCAATGTACATAGAAAATAAGCAAAGAATCAACGATTGTTTAAATTGAATCCATTCCCAGGGAAATCATGTGGCACAATCACATGAGTAGATGTTAGGTAGCTACAAAATTACAAAACCTATTATAGTCACGGAGGAGATTGAATACAATTTAGAATTGTCATCACGTGCATGTAGATTGTAGAAGGCCCTATTCTTTTTTCCCTTTTGTCAAATTGAAAGAACTATTTTATCTTTGAAAGGTTTCAATTTGTAGATGAAAGAATAAAGCGACATTGTAGGAAGGAGAGAATGAGCTTGTGAAGTGTCATTTGTCAAATCGTCTTTCACAACCAATGAATAGATTAATTATACGACGAAATGTCTGTGTAGTTGTTTTCAGTGGCAGAAGCTACAAACAATCCTAATGAATAGACACACACGTGCTAGGTAGCTACAATTACAATTCCAATCTCTATAGAGACTCTTAAACTTCAGCAGTATATAGCAATTAGCTATACAAATACTATCACTACACTTTGCATACATCGAAGCACCCTAAATAAAGTAAACAAACTTGCTAAAGCAGGGAACATGTATCCATCTGAATTCCCACAATAAATACACCAAATAAAAACAGAAACACACACATCATCATCCCCATGTGACCTCTCTCTGCTGCATGTATATATCTTTACACTTTAACTCAAACATAAGATGGACCCAGATATCAGGCATTGCCAAAATCAATATGTTGCATTAATTAATCATAATTTCCATTCCGAGTCACCAACTTTATTCACATAATTGCAAACTCAGTGAGTAACACCACTTCCTCTACCACGTAGGGTTGTTTGCTTCAGCAAGTTTTTAGGAGAAGAAAGAAAGCTTAAACCCAGAAAAAGACAATTATCCGAATGACTTCAGTTGCTACAGGCACACAAGTTGGTTTCATGGCACCGCTCAAGAAAAAAAAAATTCAGTGTAAAATTGAGATAATAACAAAAGGTACGTTGCTTATTTGATTTTGGGGCATTTTTTAGATGCGTGTACATTAAAAAATAACTAGGATAACATATTTATATACAGATATTCTGGTCAAAGACCAAACCAACCTTTGGTAGACATATATACAATATACATTTATCCATTTAATTAACTTACTTACCAATGTAAATTTTTAGAATTGAAGTTATTTAATCATCAACTATGATGAGTTTATTACTTTTTATAGTAATTATGAATGATTTATAAATAAATGACTGGATAATATTATTTTATAGAAAACTTGTTTTTCTTCGTTGATCTCTCGTTTGTGCCAATTTTGTATCTTGTGAGTCAAGATATATAAGTTAGCCATAATGGGAAATTAAACATATATAGCTGGAATTCCCCGTTGATCGTAGACAGAAATGCAATGCTTCTGTGTGTATGTGTTGCTCTTGGCAGACTGCAAAGAACATGAAGTGAAATAAAAGCGATATTTCATAAAATTTCCTTACAAAGAAAGGTTGAAAAGAAGAGACTGTGACGTCCCCGTGTATTCTGGAGGAACGGTCGGTGTCACAATAAGGTGGCTAACACTGTTTTTAAGTTGCTACAGGGAGCAGAAGAGTCTCGGGCTTCGAAATATTTGAAAGATAAGAAGTGGACATTTTTAGGGATAACTATAACTAACATGGATATATATAATGCACATCACACCAAGAGTAAAAACAATGACATGCTAATAAGGCCAATGATGTGATGTTCTTTTCCCTCTCTACCAAACTAAATTAATATTTGGCTGTGCTGTGTGTGTGTTAATATTCAATTTCCGTGTGGTTGGTTGATTTTTTGGAAGTGTTTGTAAGAAGAAGCATGTGGAAAGCAACTGAACAGTTTGGAATTTATTGGAATGATGAGGTGAAGTGGTAAGTGGGTGAGCGATCACTTGTAATGATCCGTGTAAAAAGGTTATTCATAATTTTGTGCAGGTTTATGTGCATGTGACTACTGTTAGTTCCCTGGAATATATGTAGCTGAAGTGACTTCTAATTGTCAGTTACTGTCAGTTCTTCCACCACTTTAATTATTACCTTACAGTTTAACTTTCCTCTTCTTTGATTCCACTCACTGTTGTTGTATCGATAAAAAAAAAACTTCTAAGAAATTAATGTTTTTCCTTCAAAAAAGTCCAATTTGGTTTTGCTTATTTGTTTGTTTATCTTTGCATAGCTCCTTTGTCGTGAAATCCTTTGTATATTCATATATAGTGTTGTATATATTTTCAATATATGTCATTTGCTTTCAAACGATGAAGGTATTCATAGTATTATTCTCGTTCATTCCTGTTTATAAGTTTGTTACTTTTATTCTTTTTCACATGTAAGTTTTATCTTATACAATACTTCTCTCTTTCCTTTACGTTTCTCTTTGATCTATTGTGAAAATGTGAAAACAACCATTACGCATAATTTTATGCTCATAATCATTAAGAGAAGAAAAAAGATGGTATGCAACTAGAGATAATATTAGTATTCAAATTAACATCTCATGAAAATAAACCTAAGAATTCTACCCAAGGTGGTTTAGGTTAGGCGAAGAAGGTTCTTGCCTATTTTCTATGAACCTCTAGCAGGAAAGGGGAAAGAAAAAGGTAAACACTGACATTCCATTACAACTTCTTCTGTTTGTCTTATATACTAAATAACTTTCTGTGGCTTCCCCAGCCTGAGTTCAAGATCTAAGTCTTCCATTCCAGGCTTGAGTCCAAGTACAAACTCTGCAGACTGAAAAGTTAGGTGTCTATCACTTGAACATGGTTTGTGGAAGACAGGCAAAGGAGGCATAGAAGTCTTTGATCTTTTATAACTGATAGCTTCGTCGCCACATGATTCCATTGGTAATTTTTGGCCAAACACTGAACTTTGTCCCACGGACAAACTTGTTTCAACATAATCATTACAACCCAAACCTTTTAAAAAATGTTCCCTTCCATTCACTGCAGACCCTTTTGGTTCTGAATCAGGAGACCCCATGTGCTGATGTCCCCAACTAGTTGAAGAAGAGTAAGGAGACATGGTAGGCTGATGATAACAATTTTCTTGAGTGGATATAGTTGAGAGCTTAGAAGATGAGACTTTGCTTGTTGCAACTGAACCTGAAAGGTTAGAGTAATGATATAAGGATGAAGACAACAAATTGTAGATGAGAGAAGTTCCATCTCTTCAGAAAATTGAGTACTTGGTGACTTACAATCATTTTTGTTAAGATGTTGAAGGGCTTCATTATGGTGACTAAGGCTTTGTTTGAGTCTAGCCCTGTCCCTCCTGTGCACATTCATGTGTCCCCCTAGAGCCTGAGCAGACCTAAACTCTCTTTTGCAGAAATTACATGAGTAAGATCTTGGCGGCCATATGCACCCACCAAGTATCCTAGCAGCATCTTCTGCAAAAGCCCTTTCCTCCCATGAAGAGGTGGTGCTGTTGTTGCCAGCTCCAAATGGTTGTTGAATATGTGACCTCAAGATTTGTTTTCTCTTGAACCACAACAAGTACTGAGACTCCTCCATGTTGATCAGCGTAGCAAGGAAAATTAAACCTGTTGGGAGATGATAAGAATGAGAGTGAGAACAGGTGTGGCGGACGAAGCTTTATATAATGAGAAAATTAAAGGATGGGAGGGAATTGAAGATGAATAGTCTAGGGTTGCATGTCCTGGTTATTATTATATTTGAAAGCAACCTAAGAATCTAGAGGGAAGAGAAAAAGGTTATCTGAAAAGGTCTTGTTATAAGCTCTGTGTCTTGCCTTTAGTACTGAAGCTTTTCTGTTGTTTTTTTGCTTGGTTTACTTGCAACACAGTTTTGGGAGGGTCCCATTTATGCAACTGTCTTGCATCATATTTGATTCACACGGATGATGGAGATAACGGTTATGAGAGTAAGAAAATACATGTATACTGTTTCTCTGAAGCTTCCACCAAACCCATATGCATGGTAATACTGTTACACTGTCCAGTGTTCTCATAATAATTTCTACTATGTAGCACGCACATAAAGTACCACTCATTTAAACTCGTGTCTAGTATTTCTGTTCCACTATAGTAACTTCTTTATTAATCATAGCATGTCACTCACCACAATAAATAATACAATTCCATGTGAGAAGGAAACAAATTAAACGAAAGAAACATAATCTCCACAAAAGAATTTCCCGTATATGTTTTAGCTAGTCTTAATTTGAATATAAGGATTGCTTTTTCATGAAAGGTTTTACACCAAAAAAATTAAGAAAAGAAAATTATATTTGTAATGCTATATAAGTATCAATTCCATACAACAACGTGCATGGAAACTCAACAAACGAATTGCCAAAAGAAAAGCGTAAGGAATTACTCTTGGGTTTCTGCTAAAGCTCAGAAAAATACAGTGTATATATATATGACAATTTTGTTTCAAAATTAAAGTTGAAGTCATTTTTTTTGTCATCCATGAAAAAAAATGATATATTAAGTTTATGAAGGAGGTATAAGAGCCACCTCTTTATTTGGATTATCTAAACACCTTTTCCTCTTGCATCTGTCGCTCGGAAACACCCAAAGAATCTTTTAGGCTTTTCTCCCATATCACGTTAAGCTAACAAGTCAAATTAAGAAGTCAAATTAATGATGTATGATTGAGTTTTTCTCCCTGTCTCTCACTCACACAGTCACAAACGATTGAGACAAACACACGAACTAGTCAATTCAGGGCATATTAAACTGGTACCCCAAGCTTGATTTGATTTCACTCAATTCTTCTAAAGTAGTACAAGAAACAAGAAATAAAGATTAAAAAAAGGAAAGATAAGAACCAAAAGTCCTTATTTTTCAAATGTTGAAACATTTGGGTTTTTATATTTGGCAGTGAATTGGCTTTTTCCAATTATGATATATATATGTTCAGTGGTTATGTTTTCAAACGAATTATCCGTGTCATCATGCACAGCAAATTGCTATTAACAAATTTTTAGGTTCCTTATCATTTTTTTTTTTTAATGTTTAGTGGACTTTTGTGGGGAGGAATATAGTTAGCAAGGGCCTATTCATTAAGAAACACATTTCAATTATTGGTTAGACTAAATCTGTAAATCAATTATGCACTCGAGCCCCGCAAGCAAGTGATTGAAATTAATATTCTTAGTACCTAATCCTTGTTCTTAAGCAAGAACTAATGACTTGTACAAGTGACCAAGAGAGAAAGGATGTGCCTAGCTACCATTTGTGCTGACATAAGATAATGGAGCTGCTACTTATGTTTTTATGCTGGTGTTCCTGCACACGTGGATCTGGAAGCCGAATAAGATACAACAGCTATATATATATTATTAATTCATATTGAATTTCAACACAATACACTGCCGTAATTTATAATGTAATTGTTTTTCGAAATTTTATGATCAATCACAATCAAGATATCAGCTATTGCAATAAAAAAAAGGATGAAAATCCTTTATCATGGTGCTACAGAACCAAATCAAGCATATAATCAATAACTCAATGAAACTATATACATCGAGATAAATCAAACATCTTCATTTCATTCAAGTATATATATTCATAAAATATATGCTTCAAAGTAATAAATAAATTTGAGGTACTTTTATGATAATATGGTGTGGATATTATGCAGTTTTTGCTCATCTAACACATTAATTTGCCATTGCATGAAGACGATTTCATTGATACAGGTTTGGTGAGAGAAACGAAAAGAAATATGTTGCATTGAATAGTTGAAAAATGTGACAATGAAGAGATAATATAAACTGAAAAGTTAGCAAATAAAACTACTCAAGATAGCTGCAGACACATGATTCCAACAGCAGCGACAAAATAAATAATGACATGGAAATGAATTACATGGATGTCAAGATCATTGACTCGTGAGACCTAAAATAATATTTATGGATTCTACTGAAAATGTATTCACCCTTGTGGAAGGACACACAGTTGAAAAAAAAATAAAAATTGAATGCATGTTTAGAAATTTATTACAGAAAACAACAAGAAGATGGCTCAATGATAAAAGATGAAGGTTGGTTTGGTATAAGTACTGTCTGCATAATAGTTGTTAATTAATTAAGTACAGGAAATTATTTTAGCATGCCTACCAAATTGCAGTGTCTGCAAAGTGGGAGAGTACTGTGTCATAGATGAATTTAATATTTGCTTTTGGAAGAAAATGAAAAGGTGAGTGATGTATGCATGCGTTCGACATTTATTGAACGTGACATGACCCTTGGTAATCAACCATTAGCTAATTAAATTTTGTTAAAAATTTTAATGTAGAGAGAGAGAGAGAGAAAAGTAATTGGACACAGGAAAGTAGACAATGTCAGTTCCAATCCAATTGATGTGAGGAATTGAAATAATATTTTATGTCAAAAGGACAAATGGTGTAAAAGCATCACTCGCTTTGAACCATGAAAAACGGGTTTGTGACATACACTAATGAGTAAGTTAACTTTTTTGTCAAGTTGCGACACCCTAAATATAAAATCATTGACGTGATCAATTCAATCACATCTTGTCCATCTAGTAACTAAGTTTATCCTGAAAAGAAAATAAGAAACAAAGAAAGAAAACTGGTGCCTATCATTTTATATGAGAATGTTTAAGTATTTCCTAATCATATACCTTATTTATATAAATAGATATTGAGGGAATATCTTTGAAATAGGCTATGAAAGTTCAAAACGCATTAATTTTTAGTGTTTTCTAATTTAATTCTTACAATGATTTAAAATTCAATATTGAGAATGACATTTTTAATATTTAAAATATCAATTTTTTTTTATTTTTTCAAATTCTAGTCTGTCGTAACTGTTAATAAATGCTAAAATATAAGTTTACTCCTTGTACATAATTTGGAGAAGTTAAACGTGACATAAAAGAATAATATATATATATATATATATATATATATATATATTATAATTAATAAATCATTAATTTTTTTTAGATAATAAGCATGCAAAATGATTAGACATAAAAAGTAAAATTCATATAAAAACTAATATTTTAAATGATATGTGCTGATATAGATATTCTAATTAATCGTTGTTAAATATAGTGATTACGTGGTATCATAGTATCTAAATATTAAAATAAAACCAACGTTTATAAAATATTAGTAATTGAAGAGTTATTTAGAATTTAAGTTTATAAATATAAGATTGTTATTTAAATTTATAAAACTAAATTTATTTTTAAAAAATTAATATTATTATTTAAATTGACATTTTGCAATACAAATTATTTAAATTCATATTTTATAAAGATTAATTTTATTTATATTAATATTTTAAGATACAATTTTATTTAAATTATAAAAATAAAAACTATAATTATCATAGAATCAATAGCATAAATAATATATTTAAAAAAGTTATTTAAATAAAGTGTTACCCAATTAAATGTGTTTATTCTTCATACATAAAATTCAATAAAAAAATAATTTTTTTCTAATATAATATAAATGTATTTGATAAAATTGAGATGTTAGTTATGTTGTGATTAGTAAAATAAATGTACTTATTTTAAAGCTTTTCTAATTAATATTTTTTAAAATTATCTAATCTAATTAATTATCATAACTTAAATTATTATAACTAGATGTAATTATTAGATAAAAATATATTTAATTTATAAATATTTAATTTTTGTAATTAAATAAGTAATTATTTATTATGATAAATAATTTAAATTTATTTATTATGTTATCATAAATAAAATTATTTATTGTCATCATATTTTTAAATAATTAGTTAATATTTTTAGTTTCAATATTATTTTTAAAATATTTGTGTTAATATATTTTTATTAAAATTTTATTCAGTAATTCAATTAAAAAAATAAGTAGAAAATAAGAGAGAAACAAGAGAAATAAGATAGAGAAAAAAAGAAGTGAATGAAATTTTTTATAAAAAAGCTACATAAAAATAATAAACAAATTTATTTGGATAAATAAATTTATATAAATTTCATTTAAATAATTTTTATATAAAATATATTATTCTTAGGATTGATTCAATTATCATATCATATTTGTTTCAAATTGATATCCAATTTAAGAGAAAAACAAAGTTGAATTTAAAATATAAAATACTTAAATCCAACTTAATTTTCCCTCAACTTTTATTAGATTTGAAAAGTCCATGAAAAATTTCATCCTATTTTTTTAAAACTTATTTTTTTTAATTTATATAAACTATATATTATATCTATATATTAGTTCGAACAATGTATAGAAAATGCAATTGAAAAAAATATTAAAAAAATAAATTGACATTTTAGTTAACTATGTAATTTTAAATAAATTGTTCAATAACTAATTTTAATTATTTGTTTATTACAATATTATTTTCTATATTTAGTAGTTCTAAAAAGTGAAAATATGAAAATAAAATTTTAACTCCTATGTATATACAGTGTGAGGTTAGGGCAGAAGGTTTGATCTATTATCCTACCCTCACTTATATTTATTGTCGAGAAAAAAAAATCATAAATTTAGATTTAATTATCATGCTTAGT